ATTAGACGCAGAGCTGTATATCACAGTTCAACAGTTACTGGCTTTGCACTTTCTGCTATTGTTGCCATTTATCTAGTTTATTAACCATTTTCCTGAAAATACAATCCCCCATCACACGAGATGCAATCACTCATACAACTATTGGTCCAGAGTAGAAAACACTGCAATGCATTTAACTCAAGAGTATGTCACTGGCCCAATATGAATGCAGCATGACACAGCCCAGGTCCTGAATTTGGATGTGTATACATAACCATTTTCTCATTTTCCATAGGAAACTTGAGAAACCTTCTTGATGGAAGTTATTACAACAGATACATTTGCAGGAAAAGCTTCTAGAACATCAAATTGATAGTTAAGAGAAAAGCCAATTAGAGTTGAAAAAATCCCCATGTTTCTGGCTCATCTCTGGTCTTTTTAAGTATAGGTCTTCCTGTCTCCCTTATCTCATGATAAATAGTTACTGTACTAAGTTACCACAGAGAAAACTTGGTTGAAGAAGGGATGTTTGTTTTGTCTTTGGAAGAAAAACAGCTATGTTTGACAGGTGTGATGAAAACATTTATCAGCAACCTACTTACCTGAGAACACAGTAAATTTGTCTTCACATCACAGCAATATGTGAACATGCAGGCTGTGCCTTGGGTTTGGCAGCATTACAAGGCACACAATTAGTCAGCCCAGCCAAAGACTGTCCCCTGTGCCATTAAGTCCTTTGTGAGCTGATAAAAAAACGCATGCCAAGGAGCAACACAAAAGCTCGTTGAGACAGGACTAAATTTGAGGTCTCTAATGAAATGGGCTTTTGCCAACATCCACTCCCTCGTGTTCTCAGTCAGACATAGACTGCATAAAGCTGCATCTGGGCAGATGAATGAGGCTGCACGGCTTGGTAGGAACAGTGGTTCCCAGCAATGTGCTCATTTTAAAATGATGGAGTTTATTTCAATGACAAATGCCTGATAATTTGCAGCAGCTGAAGCTCATTCTACCATCCCCTACAACAGAAGCAGCCAAGCATCCCTGCACTGGGGCACTAGCAGTCAACTGGCATGAAGAGAAACTCATCACAGCAGCCCAGAAAAACAAGGCAGATAGGCTCACTGATAGACACATGGGCAGCTGACTCAAGATGAGGCTTTTTGACAGTCCAAAAGTGTCTACGGGACTAACAGAGGATGTTTGCTCCTGGGTTGGTCTCCAGGAGGGGATGTTCAGGCTGTTCTTCATTACTGCATCCGAGTCCTCATCTACTCATCTTTTCCACTGAGACTGCAAGGTCCACAGGGCATAAAATCCCTCCTATTAAGAGTTTATGTGCGAATTAAAACAAAAACAGAAACTCAACCTGATGCCTTTCTTGACCTTGTAGATAAAAAGAGGTATCTTAACTAATAACAGGAAAGCTCATGCTCTTTAATAAAAAAGATAATGCCACTCAAGAGCATGAGGACTGGCCCAAGGTACCAAAGGGACCTAATAGAGCACCAATGTTTTGACATCCCCGTGCTTCAATCTTTCCACTGTTCCGACAATCTGAGCTGAACTGATCCTGATTATACAACTTAATGGTAGGAGCAGTGTTGTACCTTTGGATTAGTCTGTGTCTAGGGAGCTTAACCACCAATTATACGTGCTTCACTGCTGTAGATGTGATAATAACAATAATAATTATCATTTACAGGGGTCTTTGCATTTTCAGAGCTCTTTGCAACCATTAACTAATTAACACCGTTAAAACCTTTGTTTAATTTAGAGCATCTTTCCATGGAAGTCATTCCTCCCACGCACAACTGCTAACAGGAGATGTCTCAAAGCAGCTCTTTCATTTGATTTATGTGCATGTGTTCCCAGCTTCTCATTTTGGAAGAGAAAGAAGAAAGGTGACAAACAGATTCAAACACAGCTGAGACAAGACATTAAACTGTCTTTTGATGTTTTTCTGTGGGCTCCTTTAGTGCTCCATGCTCACTGACTAATTATTGAGGTTCTTTTAAAGGAAATCAATGCCTTGCAATTCATTTAGCTGAAGAAACCTCCCAAACAATTCCTCTTGAAGCTGTTCCAAGAAACAGGAGCTAAGTCAGGCTGTTTTATGGGAATGTGGGTTGATTCTCATTGCAGTACAAGTGGAGGAACGTGCCAATTTCGGCCCTTTCCTTCACTAGGATAGATTTGAGCCAATCAATAAATTATCTACATTCAAGCAACATCTTCCTCTGAGCACAGGCACTCCATGCACAAGCTCTTCTCAGACTCCTCTTGTACACTTACCACAAAGAGGCTATCAACAGTATTATGCTGTCTTCATAGCCTTCTGCACACAAGAAAAAACCCACTTCTCTGGTAGCTCCTGAGAATCCTCAGGCTGCCATTGAATCTGCAGCGGCATCTCACAGCCAGAGCATGTGGCAGGAGCCTACCTCTGCTTTCAGCCTGTCTGGATGTGCAAGAAGCATGAAGGAAAGTATCACTGGATTTGCAAAGGACTTGAGAGAATGAAGCTTGCCTTAGAAATCTTAGACATAATATAAGTAAATTTAGCATCTGTTCTTGCCAAACACCATTAGGATAGTCTTCCAGCTATTGCAAATAACAGGAGCTGTGTGGCAGCTCACCCAGGACAATATGTAGGTATAAGAAATCACCAGCACAGTACAGAAAGCAACATGGACAGCCATTGAGGGAGCATGGCAGGAGAAATGGTATGGATGAGCAAATTGAATGGCTTGAAAATCACAAAATTTGTTCAAGAGAAACATCCACAAATACAACACACAGACTACACTGAAAACCCCTACAAAAGGGGGAGCAAGAGGCCTGGAGTTGGGTTACATGTAATGTATCATCTCCATTTCAGCCCAGATGGCCAATTGACAAGTATTTGAGAGGGACCACCCATGCCTGTACAAATCTCAGATTCATGACTTGTTTTCCTCCTGGATAGGCATCATGCCAGATAGCCCTTCCATACACATCTTCCCCTTTCTTTCTCCTGCATGGTTTATGCAATATTTAAACAATAAAGTGCATGGATGTTATGGAACTTACAGCACTCAGAGTAGGTCATTAAATAAATCACTGTATAATTCATTCAAACGAATCTGGATCTTGCAGTGGGAGGATTTCATCGAGGAAAAAAATTGAAATCAATCCATGGTGTTTATAAAATTGAAGGGTTGTCAGGGATTTGCAATATTTAAGTACTGTGTATATTTAGAACAAGAATATGCAAGTGATTTATATAGATTGACACCTTGGTTTCCCCTCAGCTGGACATCTCTGCCTCTGCTGCACCAGCTCTAAGAAGGGAAGACTGACACTTTGTAAAGCTCCTGAAACTCTACAGATGAAGAGTATCACTGCAGTGCTGGATAATATTATTACACCAATTAAGCAAATTAAATTAGAATCAAGCTTATTTAAGTGGTTCTAACAAAGACCAGCACTGAGGTGAGCGCAGCACCTTTTGCAGTGGAAGCAGCATCCCCATATTTCTGTTCCCTCAGCTTGTTTGCCCATGCTGGGGTCACCTAAGACATCCACCTCACTGAGCTCCAGCTCCTTATCTCGGAGGGTCTCAAGGTCAGGGTACCCCTGTGGGAAAGATGACTGGAACAAGGAAGTGCCCTTGAGACCTGCCAGAGCCCACCCTACTAAACACAGACTCAGGCTGCTTGTGCCACCCTGCACAGACCATGGCTCCTCCTTTCACTAGGTGTTTCACCACTTATGCTAAACTAAATTAGGAAGGACTGTGTTTCCCCATACAGCCAGTCCTGAGCTTGATGTTTGCCAGTATCCTGGTCGATGTGATTATCAGTACACATGTGTAAGCATAATCCGCATCCATATACGCCTCCACCCACCTCTCAATCACTTCTGTTGTTGGAACATGTTTATACCTAAATACAAAGGTCTCCAAGGCCAGGCAGGACTGTGGGAAGGAAGGATGGAGGAGAAGGGGAAACTAAGATTAAATAATGATCTTTTAAGTGGGCTTTTGATGTATATTCTCACATTGAGCATCACGGTAAGCCTGGGCGCCCATGAACCCTGGCATGCTGCAGAGATCTGGGTGCCTTTACTCCACTCATTTTATAAAACATTTGATTTGTGATGCCAGCTTGCTTTCATGGCTGTGCTGCTTTCTCTGGGACTGAGGTCCTTGTCACTTTGAAGATCCCAGCTATTTGACTGCTTTGAATTAATTTGTTTAATGAACCTCAGGGGGCCACTGCACTAAAGCATTCCCAAACATGTTCAGAGCTTTGCAGTTTCTTCACTAATTAGGGACTCCTCTGGGGCTAAACACAAGAGGTTCTGCTGCTATGTTTGAAGATGGCAGGAAGCCAAGACACTGCTGAATCTCCAGCTTAGGTGAAGCATCTCTAATAGTTTTCCTCCTCTATTTTTTCTTCCCCCCAGTCAGGGCAAAGTTGCCAACCACAAACACAAATTACTCAAGGTGCTAAGAGAGGGAAGCATTTTATCAAAGCACAAATAAAACAGCAAAGTTCTACAGGGTGCTTTTTTGCACACGTGCACTTTTCTCAGGGGGCACTACACAGCTCTCTTCCACAAGCCCTTTCCTCAGTGCCTGTTAACCTACTTAGTATTAAAGGCTCCTAGTAACTAAAACTGCAGCTCACGTTGCTCCTTAGTCGCTATCCAGGAACACACCAACCTCAGTACTTGCATAGCCCAGCTGGCCAGCCTCATAGAGCCAGCACAGGCCACACAGTGCACTGCTTACAGTGGCTTAGAGTGGGAAAACAGGGGGACTACCTCCTCAAGTGCCTCAAGGACGTGGGAGTGTCATGGCTAAGAAAAGCGAGACAAAATCCACTCATAGCAGCTTTTCTTAATGCAAGAGCTTTTTCTTTGGCTTCCCTTACAGCACCCAGCCCTTTATAGCTTCCCTAGCAAGAAGTGAAACACACATGACCTGCTTAAAAAAGCAGAGAATACATTCACAATTGCCAGAATGAACCAGGAAAGAAATTGGTAACTTTTAGTAGTATCTTTTACAATTCATTACAGCAACTTTATTACTCCTCAGAATTTCCCCAGACTAAGAAAGGGCTGCTCAGAACCCACTCCACAGTGGTCAGAGCCCACCAAGGGTCCTGCAAAATCAACTGCCAGGCACATTCATTACTGATTAAATCGAAAATCCACAAATATCAATAGAAAGTGAGGATTAAACATGTACTACGGATTGGAAACATCCTTTCTCCCTCCATTCTCACTGTAAGTCACCTTCCTGTTGACAAGTTCAGGAGGACAAATGTATGATAGGAGGCAAGCAGTAATAAATAAACATAGCATCACCATAAAGCTGGAAACTACCTTCCCGGAATGAAGTTGCAGATACCGCGCTAGCAAGCATGGATTTCCACAGGCTGCAACCTGTTTTCCAGCCTGGCAAAGCCTGTGGCAGCTAGCAGTCAAGGCGCACCAGCCACTAGAAGAAGGATCTCCATCCAGCCACCTGACTGGAAACCAGTACTGATTGTAATCCTCACAGTTCTCACACGGGGTCACTGCTGTCTTGCTAACATCACCAACTGCTAAATCCAAGACTCAAAAAGCCTCCAGGCAGAGGTCGCATGCCCTGGGGCCAATCTTCAGCCCTGCCAGCTCCTGAGACCTAGAACATCTCCACAGCCGGCCACTATGGCCTGAGCCATCTCCAGCACATTATGATACTTCCTTACTACCTCCAGAAATAGCCTCTTTCAATATAAAAATGCCAGGTGAAGACAGCTTCTCACACCATCCTGTTCCCCTGTGCGTACCTTCTTTGCTCCCTCCACATTAACTACAAACATCAGAGAAGTTAATAGATTTGTGTATACACCCCTGGGAGTTAGAGAGACCACAGTGACTAGCAAAGACACTCTCCTGCCCAGCCTTAAAGGCAAAGCTCGTTATGGCAGTAGTAGGAGAACTAAGCCAAGCAAATTCTAGCCCATTACAGCAGTCCCCAGACCACCACAACCACATCCTCCCATTTAAAGCCCCTCTTGCTTCTCCCCACTTCCTTCAGACCAGATTTTATCCATACCTTTACCATGATAACATATGAAACAGTACCTCCAACACTGCCACAACGGTAGGAACAGCACAGGCCTGCCCAAGCCCCACTTATATACTCAGCAGCACTCACACCTGTGAAGCTCAGCCTCAGCCCTCTTAACCCTTTCAGCCACCCCCCCAAACACAGCACCCTTCAGAATGTGCAACGAATATGAAATAGAAATCCCCTTTCCCAACTACACCCTGTGACCCACTCGGCACCCGAGGCATTTGACCATTGTTGGAAATGTGGATAGGGATGGTGTGAGCACTGTGGGCGACCACATGAGGAGGAAAGCACACAAGAAGCAGCTCTGACTAAAGAGACATTGTCTCTTTCTCCTTTGCTCCTTCCTGAGGGTTGTTTGTGTGCAGTCACGGCTCAGCTCATCAGAATCCCTGCCTCCTCCCTCCTGATGCTGCCTGCTCCTGCTTCTGCATGACAGGGTGTATGTAAAATGTAAATCAGGTGGAAATGACTTTCAAGGAGGCTGGAGGCAGTGAGCCTGGATCTGAGCCATGGTGCAACCTGGCACCAGGTTCCCTGCTCCCTACTCCCTGCCAGCACCCCAGCTCCCTCTGCCAGGGGACAGAGGGGAAGCAGACAGCGTGTGTGGGGAAACATGGGGGTGGATGGGGTTTCCCACACCTCTCACTGAGCTGCACCAAACACTCACTGTTGGGGTTAGCGTTTAACTTAACAAATGGTGTGGGTTCCCACACAGACACCGAGGAATGGAAGATACTTTCTAGGGACGGCAGTCTCCTGATTCCCCACAGGACAGTGGCACACATTCCCAGGCGTGCTAGACCTGTGTGGGGTGGGTGCCGAGCCCCTCTGCAGTGGGACAGCAGAGAGAGGTTTTTACCTTCTTGGCCCCGTGCTGGCACACACCAGAACCAGCACAGCAAGTCCAGGTACAGTGAGTGGAAAGCTGCTGCCATCTCCTGGGCAGCTGTCTCTATCCAACACCTATCCCATCAGCTGTTGAACTCAGGGCTATTGCTCTCTCCTGTCCAAAACCCTTACCCCCGGAGCTGCCTGCCTTCCCCTGCAGCACCCCCGGCAGAGCAGGAGCCTCTGACAGCTGCCTGTCCCCGTGGCACCAGGGCAAGAGCCATCACCCGTGCAAACAGGGGTGTACCCTCTGCATTGCATGATAATGTTTCTGTACAAACAGGCTTTCTTACAAAGGTAAATACACCATGTGTCACAGTGACAGGATGCCCGCTGAGCTCCTGCTGTGCTGTTTGGATCTGCAGGGCTTGGATCCTACCAAGGCGAACTCCATTCCTCAAGAAGGTGTCACACGTACCTGAAGCCCAGTGCTGATGTCTGTCCTCACAACCAGACCTGCTTAGAGATGGCACCGAAACACCTGCACTGCTCTGGACAGATTCCTTTCCTATGGACAGGTTTAGGGATAGAAGGGACTGCAATGGAAACAAATGGAAAACCAGGAAAGAGGGCAGCAGCAGCACCAGGACAGCAAACAGGGCTTTCTTTCCAGACAGGCTCAGCAGACATAGAAAGAGGTCAATAATAATTATGGTCCAAGGAGGAGGATTGCACGAGAGGGCAGGGACTTCATCTCCACTTTGGGAAAGAGGAAGGAGAGGAAGCAAGTAAACCCAGACACTATTCTGTACACCTCCAAGTTGCAGAGAAAGCAAGCTCCTGGCTGCTATTTCTCCTACCTCTTGTAATGAAGGATCATTTGGGGACCAAACTTATTGGGCTTTTCACAGTGCAAAATGAGATTTGCAGTGGCTTCTGTGTATCTGGCAGGAGAGCTGCACCTGGGCTGTCTCACCTTTCTGCCTTTGGCAGGTTTGCATGAGCAAACAGTGCTCGTTTGCATAAGGATATCTCAAGCCTACTGCTTAGAATGACCAGCTCCATTTACCCAGGTGCTACACATACCCTTCAACAACAGACCCTGCCTTCCAGCACAATGGGGTGTAACTTCATGTGTGTTTTGTCCATAGGTCAAGATGTACCAAGGTCTGCCTACTTTTCCCTGCCTCCCCAGGTAATCCTACCCAGCACCATCTCCCAGAGGAAGCACCCTGTGGGTTCAGGGTATGAGCAAGGGGAAGTGGCCATGCTGGCAGAAGGTCAACATGATGGGAAGTTGTACCTGTAAAACCCACTGGAAGAACAGGGAAATTTCTAGGAGTTTCACAATAAAGTACAAAGAAACAATGGAGGGCAAACAGGAAAATTCCCTTGTTAAACTGCTCACTTTAGGGAAGTGCCCTTTAGCAAAATATTTGTCTTTCAAACCAGATTCCTCCCCTTGCAAACTGCCAGAGCGCGCCTGTCCTCACTCTCCCTGCGGCCCTTCTGATGTAGATAACAAGGAGACTTTTTATGCAGAGCACAATACACCTTTTCTTATTCAAGCCTGGATGAAGCCCTTTCAGGCTTAACAGACTAGAATAAACAGCCTTAAAACTGAAGATTCCTTCTGCTGATGTCTGTGGGAAATTCCATGGCAGGGACATGCTGAGAGCTGAGCTGGCAGAGGACCAGGACTGAGGTGTTTCCCCGCAGCAAACCTGTGACACGTGGGGGGTTGGCAGCCTCCCAGATCCCTCCTGATGCAAAATGTATTCCTCATCTAATCTGCAACTCCGGTGAGCCACAACACCCTGTCTGCCCTACTCTGTCCTCTCTTTGCTTCTTCTCTCCTCTCCTTAATAGAGGCAGAGGATGGTGTGTGGCAAGGCCCTCCATCTGCCTTCCAGAAGCTGCAGTGAACTGCTGTGACACTTGTAGCTCCAAAGCCCCTGAACAAGAGGTGCAAAGTCCATCCCAGCAGTAGTAACGCACCCCATACCAATACCAAGACAAGGCATCTTTTAAAGCCAGCTCAGCAGCGCAAGCCGTGAAAAACATCCTACATTTACAAAACACACTGTTTGCAAAACAGGACAGTAAATCTCAACTGCCCTGAGCTCTTTACCCAGAGCAAATATCCAGTAAATCCATGGAGGGAGCAAACATACTTCTTGCTTGAGCTGGGCATAGTCCCCTTCTGCCATGCAGGACCAGCAGCCTGGTGAAGAGGATGCCTGGAATCATGGCCCAGAATGTTGTGCTGGGCCCAAGGCTGTGCTGTCTTTCTCCAGTGTAATTGCAGCACAGACCAGGCTCTCCCATCCAGCACTAGAACAAGGAATATAGAGAATTCTCTCTCTCTGTTTTTAGCTGCTGCCCCTTTCTTTCTCCAGCACCTTGCCCTGGCCCTGGCTTAGCCTCTGCTTGACCCAAATGGTTTCGCTTGTTGCAACCCCAGTGACAGAGAGGCAGTCTGATTCAGTTTAGCTGTGACTCACATTTCCATACTGCGAAGCAGGTGGTTACATGCAATTGTTGCCAAATTGCTGCATTTTTGCCAAAAGACACCCCCTCACTTGCCATCTCCTCCTACTGGGTTGTACATTGTAGGAGGTTTCCCTTTGCTGGCTTCTGATTGACTCTCAGCTAATATGCTCCATTCCTGAAGCAGAGCTCTGAACTCAAAGTGCTGCTGTATGCCTGGGGATTCCAGTCCTCTACCCACAAAAAGGAAGATTCATTTAACTTTGGGGAAGACAAAAAGGAGAGGATTTACTGCAGGAAAAGGAAACAGGGACCAGACACCCTCTGCACCAGTGAGTACAGAAGGCTCTTTGATGACCCACACGCAATGCCTTCATTGCCAGGCCCAGTGATGCTCAGTGAGGCCCTACTGTTTGAATGAGATAGGATCGGGCTTCCAGGAGCTCCAGGTCTGCAGAGATGGAGCCTGTTGAGGAGCTAGCGCTGTGCGGATATCCCCCAGTGACCAGTAGTCCCAGAAGCGTGGTTCTACATAGCAAGGGAACTGCTGACACACCTCCATTCAAACTCCTACAAGCCAGACTGCCTTCAGGAAGCTCCTGGAAGACGTGAGCCATGGGGCCTGAAGCTTCTGAGTTACTCCCAGGGTCACTCCCTTCGGGAACAGACAGCAAAGCAGTGTCTGAGTCATCTGTGCTCATACTTGCTCCCTCAGCGCAGGAGTGGTGGTGGGCAGTACTGTAGCCTGAGGTCTCCTTGCTGCTCCTGTCCACTTCCCTGTGTGGTATCAACCACACGCAGGGCACAGCGGAGCCTCCCCACAGAAACAAGGCAAAAGGCCCTGCTCCAAATAGCTGTCCCTGCCAGTTCTGAGTGGCAGAAACCACCTCTTGCAAGGAAGCAGAGAATGACGCAAGTTTTCTCGGCAACGGCCATGACTTGACCTTGAAAGCAGTTTGTGGAAATCAGAGTTTTAAGTTTTGCCCAAAAGTACATGAAAAGACAGGATAAGAAAGAACCAAACCACTTGTGGTAGCAAAGAGAAATACAGCCAAGAGGATAACTTCTGTCTGCTTGACAAGGGGGAATAAAACCCAAGTCATTCTATATTGTGTAGTATGGCTGGGAGACAGGGAAACATGCCTAAATAATTTCCAAACCATCCCTGAATTTACTGAGGAACTCCTTGCCCTTCCTCCACTGGACTTCACACCCATTTGATTTGCTTTAGTACGTGGGCTTATCCCTGGCTAAATGAATGACTATGAAGTCACCTTTGGGGCTAAGAATATATATTTTATTGCTTCCTGGAGCTCTCTTCTGGACAGAGCTTTCTGGTTATATCCCCTCCTAGAGACAGGCCTCAGCTCCCACTGTCCCCACCAAGTTCAACCTCTTCAAGAACAGATGAGGAAGAAAGCGGAAGAGCCCCACTGAGTGTGCATTATGTAACAAACATTGTCACTTCCATCCCTGGATAAGCTTCTGTAGCAGCATGTTCCTGGTATGTATGTGACATGATCCCATCCTGCCTTTGCTTTCAAAATTAATTATCTCAGAGAGGCAAACATATCTAAATAATCAACTGTTTGTTCCAGTGACATGATACTGAGTCATCCTCACAGACTGAAAGATGGCACAGAGATTTTGCAAGGAGACATCAGATGAAACTGCCGAGGGCAAATAGCGTCACTAGTGAAGTTGTGCTTGCAAAATCCCCCGTTTCCATTTTTATTTGCTTTTTCCCCCATTCAATTTTGCTGACTTACTTATCACAGTCCTTAAGGTGCTTGCAGAAAGGTTGTGCAATAAGGGGGGGGGGAGAATAGTTCCTATTTCCAGAGGACTTTGGCGACTCTCTCCTGGCTTCTCGGCATTGAGGGGAACATGCAGAGCCTTTCTGAACTCAGCACTGCACTGTCCACTGATGCTGAGTATCAATGGAGCTGCAGACACTGCTCAGAGAAGCTCCAAGTAGGGCAGAACACAAGGAGAAAACCACAAGGAAATGGGGCTCTGGGGGAGAATTTGATTCTGTGAACTTAACAAGCCAGAAAAGCTCAGTTTACCATTTCCTCCACACTGTGCATTAAGGCCAAGTTTACCTCTGACCAATGTTAGCACCACTGAACATGGAACAACTATTCCAACACACCCTCTCTTTCTCGGGCCTCTTTCCTGCTGCTCTCCTTTTGCTCTGCTTGTCGTGAACTCACCTATTCTTTTTCTTGTACTTCCCCTTTTTCTTCCACTTCTGCTCAACTTTTATTTGAAACATTTAACACAACAGGCTCCTTCTAAAGCTGCGGGCCACTGGCAGGATGGTGAGGCACTTTGGGGTTGGAAAAAAGGAAGATGAGCACAGGGAGGGAAATCCAGACCTCCCACTCTCCCAGCCTCTCTGGTGATTCAGCACAGGCTGGGACAAAGTGGAGGAGGTAGATCTGCCAAAACTGCAGCATAAACACTCTCCAGGAGCTTCCTGTGGGCTGCCAATTATATGTCTGCAAGTGTAAGGCAGATAAGGGGAAAAAAAGGGCATAGCCTTTTCCTTTTTGAGGATCCAGCCCATCTGGAGTACCTATGCATTCAGTATATTGCTTATTTTGACAGCTGGAAACAACTGCCCTCAGTGGAATTAGCACTAGAAACAGGTTCTGGAGTGATCTCTGTTTCAGTGGAACCAATTCAGGATCATCACCAGCTCTAATTACTGGGTGTCACACACCCTGGGTTTCACTCGGGACTGTACCTGCTGCTCCTTTCCCAACAAGGTGGAAGGCATCCGGGAGGAACCCTTCCTGCTCACAGAAATGAGGCAGTGCTCCCGTTCTCACCAAAACTTTCTTACTGCACATCAGCACCACCCCAGTAGCTCAAAGAGCACTTGCAAAACCAGCTTCTGAAAACCCCAGGGAATGGTCTGCTGGGGACAATGGAGAAATCCAGGCAAGAGCAAAGGAAAGAGAAATTTATCCAGTATTATTTGAAGGGCACAGCCAAAATGATTTGTCAAGGTAATCACATTAGTGATCAGCCCCCTAACAAGAACATGGTGTATTCACCAGTGAAGTGCTGTGAAAGGGGGTCCAAAGTCAGAGAGACCATCCTTTCAATAGGATCTTGGCCCTTGACTACCCAGCTTTCTCCAAGGAGAAGTAGAGGCTGTATTTGACCATCTCTATGAGGATGTACCCCTGATGTGTTTCCTACATTTTCTGTAACAGCTTGGCCTTTATGAAAAGCCTGGACTCAAGCTAAAACAGGACTGCAGATATTCCTCCACATTTCCAGAATGTGGGTTTCTGCAAGAGGTTACAAGCGCTGTGAGCATGCAAGCACAAAACACAATGTACACCATGCAAAGGCAGCTCAAGGGATATACACATATAGAGACTTCATTTTCAGCCTATGGGTTCCTCAGTGACATGCACACTGTCCATTTTGATCCCTCTCACTCGTCGCCCCTTTATTTTAATCAGTTCACTCAGAGGCTAAACAGGTAGAATGAAGTCATCTCAAAAAGCATGAGTGAGACCTCCCATTGGGGGTGTGCACATGTGAGCTGCATAGGGAGGAGGAAACATTTGCATTTACCTCATCAAAACCAGAGTATATATAAGCTGGAAAGTGTGAGGCTTTCTCAGTTCCCAGGTGCAGGTACGTGAAGCAGAGACATCAAAGTGGATCATGGCAACTTTCCTCTTCCTGGTGCAACTCCTCTTCATTGGGACACTAATTGTCCCAGCATATACACATAGATGTGATTTGCTCCAGAATGCAACTGCAAGTGACTTCAATGTAACCATGATACCTGAGGCGTACCACGCAAACACAACCTACCTAGGTAAGCCACCTCTGTCTGGATCTCAGAGTTCCACATTGTCTTTCCTTCCTTAGGGTGCTTTATTTCTCCCTTAATCTTTTTGCCTAAACTTGCATAGAAGGACATAAGGCTCTTGAAACCACAGAACTGGTGGAGAAGTTGTTTCGCGGCTTTGTTCCCTTTCCTTCTTCCTAACAATTTGCCCTTCTCAATGGCAATGGCTGTAAAGACAAAGGTGAAGAGGTTACTTTGATGCTGACAGACACTTATGGTCAATCCTAGAAAATGGCTTTTAATACTACAGAGAATGTAGCTGCAGAGTAAATAGCAGCCTGACCTTTGATTCTGGCTACTGTCTCACATCAGCTCCTGTAGCTTCTGACAATACGGGCAAATTTAATTTGACCAGAAGGGTGCTAAAGGTCAAGAGGGCCATGGAAGTACAGCATGCACAACAACCTGGGCTGGGAGGCACAGCTGTGAAGTCACTTGTTCCTGGCAAGCAGGTCCCCTTCGCTTCATTTGCTTGTTGTCCAACTTCTGCTTGCAACAAAAGCATGATACACAGCAATCACAGCTGTGAAACAGCAACCCGGAGCAGAGATGTGGCAAAGAAAGGGTGGGGCCTGGCACACTCATAGCTATGGGGTGACGGGAGGAACTGACAGCCCAAAATCTTGTCCCCCTTAGCTTTTCCATCCCTGCCATTTGTATGGGATCCAGAAGAGATTTACTCACAAGGAGCGCTGGTTTCATTTACAGATACAGTACCCACAACAGCAGGGGCTAAATCTGGTGACTGATGAGTTCCACCTAGTCCATTTCCTAACTGGGGAAGGAGCAGATAAGGGGTTCCTGTCATTCAGGGAGGACTATAGCACATCACTTTCTCTTTGTATGCTTCTCGTGCACTCGTGTTACATAGTGAGCACTGTGCAAGCAAATACTTCCTTGGCTGAAAACCCTGAAGGCATGAAGTCTGAAGATGGCTGTCTTTCAGAGCAGACAACTTAGTCTAACTTGCTCTGTTTCCAGTTACAATTAGTGACAACACAAACCTCACTGACAGCAACAATGTAAAAGAGTATTTACTGCAAGCCTTCTCCCCCCAAAATCACTCTGTGGGAGCATGGAATGTGGCAGACATGGACAACTGCAGTTCCATTGAGATGGCGGTATTAAATGCCACTGAGAAAACAGCAAACTGGACATCTCCAGACAGTAACATTTCTTCTGTGGAAATAAGGTAAGACTATACTCCACCTTTAAGTATTCGGTTAGGACAGTACTTGTCTGCATAAGCTCTTGGCAATACCCAGAATCAAGAGCCCACCTCTAGAGCAGGGGCTGAGAGAAACCTCTTGAGCCTTCTCCAGATTTTTCCTTGAAAATACCAAGGAAACGTTTTCTGAAAAGCCCTGTCTAGAGGTCACCCCACAGATGGTCTCATAGTTAAAGACCGGCTCATATTAGTAGGGATGTAAATTAGTCCTATGGATATGAGTTGATTGAACACCCCTCTTGCTTCCATTAACACTAATGGAGTTGCATCAGTGGGAAATATTTGTCAAAGAAAACCATAGCCATTAGCCTGATTGGCCTAATCTGCAGGAAGGAAGAATGCAACAGTTCACAACAATAGTGGTTCTAATTAGAAGGAGCAGATGGTCACAGTAAATTGCCACCCTTTTACAAGGCATTCCCATCCCATCCGCAGAAGGGCAGTAAAGCAGCCAAAGTGTAATGAGGAAGCTGTTTCAGATGTTAAATAAAAAAGTGCAATACAGTTGGAGGGATACAGAAGTGACTCAAGATGACTTCGTAGTTCCTGTCTCTTCCTCTGCTTTTAATGTCTGCATTAATGAGGCTACACGAGACAGTCAGCTGCTCTTCTTTGAATGTATTTTTTCTTCCTTCCTTTCTTCCACAGGGCATATATTGTCTTCACTGATAAATCTGTCAAGTTCAGGACTGTGACAATGAACAGAGGTAAATAAACTTCAGCTGGGCAATTCAAACAGCAGGGTGAATGACACACCCAGCAAGGGCTTCACTTGTACTCTGGTGTTTTGGGAAAGGGGGAAGTTGGACTCAGTGTACCACCAGCTGAAGAATAGCTCATGTTTCCAACAGTCAGGAGAAGGCAAAGACACTAGAGTGACAGAGCTACCTAGAGATTTTCAGGTTATAATGTTGGACTGAAAACCTTTTCAAGTTTCCTTTTTGCTTTATGGGACATTAAAGAGCTACAAATGAGAGGACAGGCTTTCTGCAGGTATTGGCAGAGGCTTCATCCCCCTACTCACTCTGTCATGCAGATACAAAGTGGAAATCGTGACTTTGCCATCACAGATAATGTTTCTGATAATCCAGAGAATCCCCTACCACCAGGAGCATTGAGCCTATGCTACTGATGGTCCATTGATGTCAGTGGATATAGTTTGACACCCCACTCCCCACCATTGACCCCCTCATTTCTAAGAAATCAGTTGATGTCAAATCAGTTACATGCAGCCTCTTGGAGTAGATCTGTAGCTCAGCTGGTCCTCTGTACTTCTAATCAGCCCTGGGCCTTTCCTTCCATTTCAGAATCAGAAACAACCACAGCACAACCACTCACCAACTCCACCATCAACTCTGTCTCCATGGTTCAGAGCAGCTCCTTCTTCATAGCTGTCATCCAGTTGCCACTGCTCCTTGTCACAAGCAAACTGCTCTCCTAGGAGTCAGGAAGAGAAGATGACCCAACTGTGGTACACCTTTCCTCCTTGCTTGTGGTACACATGGGAGGGCAGGCAGCTGATCTACTCAGGAAAACTATTCACTTCTGTGTATTAGGATGATAACTGCACTTCTACATTAAATTATAAAGGTCTATTTGGCCAGAGAGCTGATCGTCCTCTAATCCCCTCACCCAGGGCCAGCAATCTCAACAACATGAAATGCTTCATAGCAAGTCAGAGATCACTCTGTTACAGCTTTTCAGCTAGAAAAGCATAGCATGTTCAAGAGCAGACCCTGTCTAACAACGGAACTATACCAGAATCAATTCCTTCCTCATCACCTGGGGTTCTGTGAAGCATACAAAAGGTACGAAAATGATTGAAGAGGGTAAAGGCCCTCATCAAGGTACCAGAGTCTGCTGAGAAGCTCAAAGAGAGGTATTGATCCTGGGAAGGGAAATTATGGAATTAGGATTCACATGACTCAGCCAGTTCAAAACCTCCGGTGCAAGCACAGAGAAAATAAGTGTGCCCTCCACTTGGACAATCTCGGCAGCGACAAACTGGAGATGCTGCTGGCAGGGTATCCTCCATAAAGCCCCAGGCCTTGGGAATTTATGCTCCGCATTATTATTATTGATTCAGCATCCCCTAAATTTTGTTGTTTCAGTGGATGCCTTATCAGGTTTCTCTGGTTTTCCTCTGGCTTTCTGGAATGGCAAAGTGGGTATTTTTTATCCTCATTTTTTGATCAACAACTGATTTTGCTGTAGGGCAAGATTGTACGGGCCACTGAATGTCTTGCTTTTATTGTTATTACTATTGTTTGTATTTTTATATGGATGACATTTATTTAGAAAATTTCAAACTTCTGGAAAGTAATTTTTTCTTAAACTAATCTAAATAAATTAAGGAATGAAAGTTGGCTCTTGTATATAACATTACTTCCTGGCTTCATTGTGATGTGGTGGTGGGGATGAAATGATCCTCAATAATGTGAAGTAATTGGCTTTGACCCCACAGATGAGCACATAAAGACACAAATATAGGTGAGTCCTGTAACTGCAACCCTTTATGGGGTGAGCCAGAAGGATCTTTTGGAAGGCAGAGTTAGAAAGGCAAGCCCTGCCCCACTAATCCTCTTGCTGTTTCCTCTTCAGAAGACTGAGCCCCAGATCGTAACAGTCCTTCAATGGTCATGGATCAGAGAACTGGCCTTACCCGGCCTTACTAGTCCAGAGTTTGTGGTGTACTACAATTAGCCCTTATGGGTGGTGGCCCTGCCAAGACCTCTCCTGGTCTCAGCTCCAGGCCAATATATTATCTATCTTTTAAAGCTTATGGGAATAACAAGAAGCTTTAAAATGAAAGCTCCTGCTTTATGACCACATGCAGACTCTCTAGGCCCAGATTAAGCATATGTACCCAGCAGGGATGACAAAGACCAACTCATTGTACAAACAAGCCTGTGGGGTTTGCATTCAGAATCCTCCCCCAAAGACAATTTGCCCATGCATTTCTTCATACTGGGAAACGCATCCCCCTCCCACACACACAATTCAAAGGGAAGAAGGAGAAAGGACTCAAAACTGTGTTATCTTTCATGCTTATCAGAAATTACTTGGAAATACTAAATACGATCACTGCAAGACCTGCTTTCTCCTACCTTGGTTGGGAATCTGATCCTTTCTTCAGCACTGCCCCATTTTCTCAGCACTTTGCAGATGCCAGAGCAGCTGCTGGGACAAGGCCTGTACTCAGACCTCCACGGAGGCAACGGATGCCCTGGTCTGACGCCTGTACCTGAACTGATGTGCTAATGGAATGCTTCTGCAGAATTTAATAGGAATACATTTTTAGGGTCCAGCTATTCCAACTGACATCTGTTCCACAGGCAGGGTAATTAGCAGGGATCTGAATGTGTTTTATCTTGTGATACTGCAGTGCACAACACACAATAAAATTCTAATTAGTTCTGTAAACTACTGTACAATTTTAATCTCACTGTTGATATCCCCATCTCATAAAATTACAGCTCTAGCCTAGGATAACAGATATGAAATTCCTTTTAAATATCCTTGTGGCAACTCCCATTTACTGTATTATCTACAGGCACAGGGCATTCAGAGCAATGCAGTTTACCTCCAGAGGTGAACTCCTGATGGCTTTGTCCCACTGATACAACTCATCAGTGCCGTTCTCATTAACTTTTACACTATTCTGTAGCAAATACTAGCACTTCCTTTTATATACTTGTCTAATTTCTCTGGTACAAAAGTCATGACATGGCATCTGACAGGGACGTCACTGTCTACAGAGCCAGAGAAGTGGCTCTGAGGGTATACCAGATGAGCCCTGAAGCCCAATCTGCTACTGGAAGTACTAAGCTTTAAAACATTGATTAATAATTAACAGAGTGATTACAGCAAATGGATTACCACAAATAGATAAAGCTCCATTAAAATTTTTCCCACCCTTCCACTGACTTCCTGTAGTTCCTGAACTTTTAACAGCTTTAAAAGCTATTAAATGTAGGTGCTAACCTGGGTGATGCACCCTGCCTCAAAAAAATCAGTAGAACAAACTCAACTTCGTGGACCGCAGATTTCACTTTTCATTAATACAGGTTACCCTACCTATCACAGGAGGAAGGGCATCACTCATTCTGGAGTAACCCAACAATCAGGATCAAACATTAGTTTCTTAGTTTACATCATTCCAAAATCCCACTGCTGCAGAACAAGATGTAGGCTTAACCCTGGGTCTCCTGTGGGCTGCACCCATCCCTTTCTGGTGGAAATATGGCAATGTTCACTCTCTCAGCAGCCTACTGGGGTGAGATAGGGATAACAGGAGATAGGCAACACCTACCCACCTGAAGCAGAAACATTTGGCTCAGGGGTGCCTTGTCTTGTTTAGCCCTTTGCCATGTCCACAGATATTTCTACATAACTTTTAGAGCAACCATTGATTTTTCCAAACCAGTACTTCCGCAATGTCTGAATTAACAAATCCTACCCCTGCTACAAGCAAAAGCTTGATCTCCCTCCCATCTTAATGACTCTATTGTACTTATGGACACCCACACCCACACCAATAAAAAAACACTGGTGGGGCCAAGCACGCAAACATCTGAGAATGCCCAAACCATGGCTTTGCCATAAAACAGCTCCCCTTGTATATATGCAGTTATGATCACACCTGCTTTTCCTCAAGCTCTGGCCTCATTGAGTTTACTCTGGGGCAGAGACAGGGATGGGCCCTGTCTCTTGGCAAGTCAGCAGCTCTGTTCACAGTGACCTTCCCAACATTTTTGCAGAACTGAGATGTTGCTTCATTGAACCTCTCACTCCCCTCCAAGGCACTGCCAGTCTTGGGCACCAAAGCAGGCAGAAGTCCTATGAACGCACCCGCAGCCTTCATTGCCTTCCAGGCACTGCACACATACAAAGAAACCATGTTACAGAGGAAACTTCAATTCAGGAAGTGCACAATACTCCAAGATGTCTGAACTTGGAGGAAAAGCTCCTGGTACGGACTCCATGTCCCACACATAATCCTTTATCAGAAGTGATGCCTGGATTATTTATTAACTTGTTATTGTTGGGCTGACAATGAACTATAAATAATAGCCCAGGGAGTGGCACTTCAAAGTGAGTGACAGGACTCAGCTCAGTCCTAGCTGCTGTTTTTTGCTTTGATCCTTTCATAATGGAGCCCCTTTTTGCTCTGTGCTGTTTCATAATTTCAGACATCATGGGAAAACGATCAATTCCCTCTCCCCACACTGCACAGCCCTTGGCTGAAGCCACGGTCCTCCTGTGGTCACTGTCTTTCAATTACAGAAAAGAGAGTAAGACTTCTCATCCTTGCAGTAAGGCAGAATAAAAAACCATTCCCTGGAAGCAATTAATAAAAACCAGCTCTTGCTGAACAGCTTTCTTTTGAAACTGCGCAGCCTCAAACTTTCCTTCTAGCTGCCAATTCCCCCACACAGTTTCTGCCATGGCACTATTCCTCTTCTATATAACCTGCTGATTCATCTTTCTGTGTGACATGAAGGCAGAACTGGGTCTTCCTCTTCAGTCCCTAATCACAGCTCAGCATATTTCTGATCATGCTCTCATTATACTGCTATTTACATTTACGAGCATGAAAGCTGGGAGTCTTGGTCCTACAGTAGCTTTCCTGGGATCACCTTTGACATTTGAATTCCTGTATCAGACCCTACTGTCACCCAAATAGTTCTCTTTCAAACAATTTAATCACTCAGTAACTGTTATAGCAGAGAGATGCTTAATGTTTAATTATGTTAGCTAATCCTCTCCTTATATAACCCTCCTTCCCTAACCTGTGAATTTGGAGGCTGATTCCTACAGAGACTTCTGTACATGGAGCTCACAGAGGGCTGCAAATACCAAGGCCCCTCTAAGCAGGATAAAGGACAGAATTCACTGTAATTTCCTGTGACCTAGGCAATTGCAATTCCAGCTCTGATACTGCTGACCCCCTTCGCACAAGGCACTAACAAATCAACCAGTTTATTTCCACCTCTCCAGATCTGCTGCCATTTAAACTGGAAAGATCAGAATAAAGGATATGAGTAGATCTCCATCATGCAACACTGCAATAAATATAAAAACTCAAGCTATTGTGGGACTTTATCAAGGCTATGTTGCACTGCAGTAAAAGAACAGGAATTGGGCTAGTTTTTCTTGGCCTAGCACCTGACTTCTATCCAGTAATAGTAATGGGCTGTTCTCTATCCATATAACCATTTGTTTGCTTGTGGTTTTGGTTTTGTTAACAATGTCAACAGCTAAATTACTCTTCTGATAAATAGATGAAATGATACATCTTAAGTCTCCATGACTCACTGAAGACACCAAATGCTTTGTGAATCATTATCAGAGGCAGCTATCATCCAGCACGACTTAAGTGGTTTTAGCAAACCAGAATGACATAGCACGCTGGTGAACTACAGACCAGCAGGAACATTCAGGAAAGCTGCAAACCCTCCCTGGCCAGAGCCCACACTGAAAACACCTGACTGATTCCTATATGGGGAAAAGAAAAAGGAAGAAGGTCCAACGGTCTGCCAAGTGTTGCTGCCTTCTGATACACAGAGCACTTTCTATTTGAGTGACACCCGAATGAGCCAACAATTCACCAAAGCCATGCCACTGAGAGAGGAGAAAAAAAAACCCAAAACAACCAAACCCACAACAACGCTGGGGGTCCCATGACAAAGATTTTGCTCTGCAAAGCAGGGAGGATGGAATATCCCTCTTCTCCACCCTTTTCTTACCATTCCACTTTAGAAGCTCATCCAGGAAGTTTGAGCAAAGATGGATCACGGCAAGAGACAGCACAGAACTGTCCTCACATAAAGCTGTCACAGTTTAAAAGAAAGCAGTCAAAAGTATTTTTTGGAACTGTACAAACTACTTTCTAGCACAACTGGTAGCTACACAAGGCTACTTTATCCTCAGCCTCCAGCAGAGTGCAGCCAAGGTCAACTATTAGGCAAGCTTCATTAAGCCTTTCTAAATGGTACTGTTTGCTACCATTATTCAGATGAGTAATTTCCTTGTAAAGCACGAGAATTAATACCCTGGAAATCACTTTTTAAGCTATATGCATGAAGTTATTCTTCACGGCCGTACCTAATTACTCTTCAGGATGTTGCTCATGTGATAAACAGAACCACACACTCCACTATAACTACTCCACAGAGTGGAAGTACTATTATTTCCACCTCTGGAGAGACACATTGATCCTACGGCTTTTAACCATAGGAATTCTACAGTAACTGTTCCCTAACTGGTTTTAACATGCATTCCTCTTCCAGCACTTAGTTTTCAGAGTATATCTACAAATTCAGTAACCTTCAGAATAATTCGGCTAATGTCCATTTAAACTCATTGCTCAGCCTCGTCCTTTTGTAACAACCTATGCTGAACAGTGTTGCATCTTCTGATTAGAAGTGACAGCAGGAACCTGCAGCCATGATGACTGGTACCAAGTGCTTCTTCCAGTTAGACCTTCCCAACATGGGATTCTGATAATGAAAATACCAACTAACTGTAGATCATTGCAGCAGGAGTATGAGCTGAGTGCTTTCTTCAGAGAGATTAAAGGAGAACATCTGATCCCGTTCCTACAGAACTTATAAAAACCTCCCTAAGAAAAACATGCTTGATCTGGCTGCTTGTGCCAACAAGCTTTCAGGGGTCTTCAGTGGATATGGACTCAAGGTATCCCATACTATTTCAGCTGTCCATGATCAGATGCAGAATGAAAAGTGTCCTATAGCAGGGATGACTCATCAGCTTTATTTAACATGGCACAACTGCAAATTTTCTATTAGCTTGGTCATTTGGATTTGCAAAACAGTAATGTCTTGAGATAAAACAGACATTATCAATACCAAGAACCCAAATCGTTAGGGTTGCTGCAAGAATTCTTGTGAAACATCTGTATTTGTCCTTAGGTAATATGTAATCATTGTCCAGGTGTAGGAAATACAGCGAGCAGGGCTGAAGTAATCCATTGTGCAGCAGAGATCCTGATCAACTGAACTTCAGATCACTCCTCACACATTATTTATTCTCCTTTATAAACAACAATGTTCTGGTCTGTTTCATACACTTTGACTTTATAAAGAGTTCCCACGGGCAGGAGCTTCTTGAGGTTTTCCCAAATGAATACAGCAAGGTTCTCTGTGGTGCTAAAAACGAAATATGAGCAGATTCAGAACTGACAGCAAAGGTATTTGAGAAGGCTGTACCCAGAACGGAAAAGGGAGGATGCTAACGGCCACAGGGAGCCATGCAGGCACCTTTTACATGATGGCACCTTGAACTTAAGTGGGGCTAGAACCATTGACAGCAAACATGGATGAAAGGAGGTCTAATTAACAGGTCATATCTGTTTCCCAAGGTGTCCACAGACAGTCTAATGTGATGAGTGCTAGATTGTAAAAGGCTCCCTAGGCATAAGCAAGTGGTGCCTATCTTGGTATGTATGCAGGCCTTCACCCAGCCCAGCATAGTAAAGGCATAGCAGCAGGGCTCGAAGGCAGGCAGGGCACCCAGCACCTGAGATGCACAGGCCTGTGTAACAAGTGTGCAACACACACAGGTATCAAGGATGCTCTTTCAGATGTAGGACTGAGCCTTGAAGACTGTTCCTTGTAAGCAAAGTCCCCATCACCCACCTCACAACCTCGGCAAAATATGGCACATCCTTATCCAGGTTTTTGTGGTCAAGGGGTTCCATGATCGCTACCTACAGAAAGAAAACAGTGACAGTCTTGTCCCAGTTTATCAGTGGACTTGAGGTTTAAGTTACCATGCACATGGAACTACAGCAAGGCAACAGTATGCAAAAAAACAGTAAGAGCCCCACACCTACCTGTTAACTTCCCAGCTGGAGACATTGTATGTCTCATATCACAGAGTTAAAGCACTTTAGTCTTAAAATCATTCCTTGATTTCTTCTTGATTTCCTACCATCATCAACTCACCATGTCTCCACCCCGGTACTACACAAATTGCTAAGCTCTAACCAAATCTCCCAAGGGATGTGTAGGAAAATAGTGCCATTACCTGCATGTATTTTTTCAGGTCTGTCAGGTTTATAACCATTCCTGAGACTGGGTCAATCTGCAGGGAAAACAAAAAGGAGATTAACAGCCTAGGTACACCTACATCCTTATTACCAACACTGCCATGAGCCTGTACAAATCAGAGTATCTGTGTGCACCTCTTTCCACCTTCACAGAGCTCCAATTCCACTCCTGTGATATTCCCAAAGTACATACAGCCTACAAAAAACTTCCAGTGGTTCCACTCTTTCTTAAAAGCTGACACCAGGGAAGAAAAACTCACGGAAATAATCTTCAAGCAATGCTCCAGCATGAGCATAACCAGAAAAACTGGCATTAAACTTCTGTGTTGAACATGCAGGGACAAATGAGACGAGCCTGAGTTCAGGACAATCCTCCCATCTGGAGAAGGCACAGCTCAAGGGCCAAAATCAGCTGTGCAATTTACAGCATATGTGCGAAATGCAGAAGGAAGAGGTTTTAAAATTTTAGTTTCAGTTCAGTTTAGTTTCAGTTCCTAGGAACTGGAAATCCTCATAAAGTTGTTTGGAAAACATACACCAAAGTAATATCAAAATAACACTGCAGAATCCACAGAACAATTTGGGATGAGGGGTGAGAAACTACCTAGGAACTCTACTAATTGAGCTAGAACTTCAGTACTGTGGAAGATGGGGACCCATCTGTCCTGCCACCCTAAGGACTGGAAAAAAGAAATGCTCATCACACTTACCTCTCCACGCACAGTGACTATAACTGGAAAAAAGAAAAAAGAAAGTATCGGGTCACGGTGACACCATGAGACCACGACACTAACAACAAATACACTACAGATAGGGACAGAAAACCCATTCATCACTTATCCACAAGGACTGGTGCCTTGCTTCCCAGCATTTAAAAGTGGGACTGTTTTTACAACATGGTTATCCACTCCATAAAGAATAATGACTCAGAGTCACCCAGCTCATCGAAAAAGTCATTCACCAAGGTCTAATGCCCAGAGACACACCACTATCCCCAAAGTGCTCACTGCAGGCAGAGATAAGGCTACGTGACTTCCAAAGTACCTACTCCCTATGACAGCCTCTGCCCAGCACACTCAAGATCAGAGTCTTCAGATCAGCAAAGTCTTCTGGACAATGCAGATATACAACCCATACAAACACCAGCTTTAAGAGGGACAAATGTGCAGTCCAGCAATTTGTCAACTTGTTCTCCCTGACAAAATTAGCAGCTCTGTAGCAGAGGTTTTATAGTGCTAACAGGGAGCCAGCCTAATAACTGGAGAGATGTGGTTCTATGTGCACAGGTTGCACATAGATGGTAAAAGAACTTGTGAAAACAACATTCAAATGAAGTTCATGGGCTGTGTAAATCATATGTCTTTTGCTTAGAAAAATCTTCATTCAAAACTCAGTGATTTTACAGATTATAAATAAGTAGATTTCACGACTGAAAGGAGTTTCAAGGCCAGGTTGGGTAGAGCTTTGAGTAACCTGGTTAGTGGAAGATGTGGTGGCAGGGGTGGTGGAACTAGGTGATATTTAAGGTCCCTTCCAACCCAAACTATTCTGTGATTCTATGATTTTGAGCTATTTATTATCTATTTAACTTAATAGCTTACAAATCCATGCCTTGGTTCAACCTCCCTCCGCTGAAGATTCCTTCTAATTATAAAAAAATAAAACCCGAATCAGCCACTAAAAGCCATACCAGACTGCTGAGGCGCATCACTGGCCCATTTCTTCCATGGGTTATTCCACATTCAACTCAGCCTGCACGAGCAGCCTCTGTCCATGACTACACGTGTAATTACCTTTATAGTTGTGTCCATGGCCATTTGGATTGTTGCATTTCCCAAACAGCTTCCGATTTTCTTCATTACTCAGTGATTTACTGTGAGAAATACAGACATGGCATTTCAAGATGCATCAGAAATAATCCTGGCTTCACTTCAGCTGTGATTGCTTTTTAGCTCTTCTGTCTGTTCACTCTCCCAGATTTAACCCACTACCTTTTTTCTACTTAGAAGGCACAAACAGAACCTGAGAAGCATTTGGCTGGCAAAAGATGTTGCTGAGAATGGGAGCTTCTTTTGATGTAGTTTTGTATTTATACGTGCAAGTGTCGTAACAACTGCCTAACGCTGCTGCTGTATAAACTCTAACAGCTATTCACACATGAATATGGCAAAATCACTTGGGCTCCTAGGACAAAGCACCTGGAGCAAACAATGCTTATTATTAATTGACAAAGCTTGAGGAACTTCTCCAAGAAGTGCAGATGACTTCCAAGTCTTTCTTTTGCAGGAATTCAAGTACCTATTCCCAGGCATACTTCACGTCAGGGCACTCTTTAGGGATATATCAGTTCTGAGGAAAAGCTGACAGATGAGGGGCACAGTGAGTTGTACACAAAACGCAAGCGTAATTTGCCCCATTCAGAAACAAAACTTCAGCTCTCGTTAAACCCAGTTTACCAGCACCGATGTCTGAAGCCCGGACTAGTACAGGCTGCACGGAGCAGAACCGGGAAGCACGGGGCAACAGCACGCACATACACACACACACGCGCGGCTCGGCGAGACCTTTGTGCCTTTCCGGTCGGGGAGGGGGGGAACCGCTGCCGCCCCGCGGGTGTTTCCGCGTCCCGGGGCCGCTCACCTGTGCAGCCGGTGGCAAGCGCTGAAGGTGACGGCGCGGGAGATCCGCGCCAGCCGCGCTGCGGGCGGCGCCATGGCCGGACCGCGGAGAGCGCTGCGTGCGCGCTGGCGCAGGCGGCTCCATCCGGGCCCCAGCGCGTACCGGGGCCGGGCCTCGGCAGCACCGCCCGCGGGAGGTGCTCGCCGGAACCTCGGCGAATGCCCTCTTTGCGCTTCGCCATCGCCGGGGGCGCCGGAGGCGGCTCTCGCCCTTCCCCTGATGTTTACATTGTTCGGGGCCGCTGCTGGGCTGCTGGTCCTTGTCCGCAGCTAGTGTCTCCTTGCACACAGCCTGCGATCGTGTATGAGCCAGTGATACGGGAAGAAAGTAAAAAAGACTGTAAAGAGCCCCGGTGTCAACCCCGCAAATGGGGGAGTATGACAACAGCGCCAACGGAAGGACCATCGGTGTGATTCGCTGTAGCAAATGCTTTCCTACACCAGCTGTTTACTAGCTCACTTTTCACTAAATCACTGAGTGATGCAGAAAACTGGAAGCGCTCTGCGAACAGCAATCGAAATTATGGGAATCAGTAAGAGGACAAGACGGGGCTGTTTAAAACATTTCTAAGTGGGCTTCCAGGGGAGGGAAGGATCGCCTCTGAAAGAAGAAACGTGAAGCCGAAGAACATGCATTGCATTTTCCAGTCCGTTTTTCATAGTAAAGCTCCAAGCCTCGGGGCAGGATCAGTGTATAACAAGAACAGGAGGAAAAACAGCTCTTAAGGTAGCGGAGTACAACCTGTGGGCAGCCCAGCCAGGGGCTAGGATTACATGCTGTTGCAGGAAAGCAGTCGGCTGGCAGGGCTGGAGAGCCAGCAACGGGAGGCGTTTGCCATCTAGTGGCTTTGTGAGATCAGCTTTGACGGGAAACCGTCTGCTCCCAGTGCCGCAGCCTGGTCTACGACCCTGGTTTCTCTCCCTTGTTTTTTCCCCAAGGCCTGTAAGGAAGGTGGAGAAGGGTCAGAGGGGAGACAGACCTGGGTCGTTGGGGTAGAGCGACTCAGCTCTGATTTGATTCAGTTCTGTCCGGGCTGGCCTCCAGAATATCAGGAGTGAAGTGCTATAGAGGGCTTCCTTCAACACACCTATCCACCTACACCTCGGAGTTCAAATATAGGAACCTGGACGGGGAAGCAAGCTTATGAGAGTGTGTTTGAGTTTGATCTGCTGTGCTTAAGAGCAAAGGGATATCAAATCCACAGTGGAGTTCTACGTGTTTCACACTGGTTGAATTAGGAGAAGGGCAGCAAATGTTAGCCACCAGAGCTGTATCCAGGTATATGCTGTTTAAGCAGGGGCATGGTGAAGATGTGTTGTGCATATCCACAAGACCATATAACATAAAATTTGTGTCACGGTTGCAGCTGTTGCCTCTTGTGGCACAGCACAAAGTTGGCCATGGGTCTGTTGAGGGCAGGGAAAGAAAGGAAGAAACTTCACAAGTTTTTATTTGAGGGCACCATCAAGTGTACAGCAAAAAGCACTACAAGTACAGCTTCTGTGAGCATCTGCACTTGCCTTCTGGAGTTCACGGAAGGCAGTCTGAAATTGCATGCCTTCATTTGGCCTACCTGTTACTAGTTGGTTTTACTCCTCTCTTCTGCTTTACACATTTCAGCCAAAGTCACAGCCCTAAGCACCAATATTCTCTTCCCTTCAGAGCACATTGCTACCAAGGGAAGGTATGATCATCTTAGTTTCCGTTTTCTCCATTGCAAGCCTTATGCATGGCAGCTTTTGCAAACTGCTGCTAACTGGTCTATCAAGAAAAAGCAGTGGGCTGTTTGAGTGAAGAGGCTTCTGCCTTCCTCTGACCCTTTGCTGTTTACTGTTAGGAACATAGCAGTAACTCAGAGGTTATAATAAAGAAAAAGCAGTTACTTCATCCAGCATATAATGCAAAGGTGGGAGATAAAAGAAAGCAGAGGTTTCTTTCTGAATCTGATGTGGTCCTGAGTTAGAGGAGATGACAAGATCTTCAGTCAGTGAGAAGTAAAGACACCATGGAATCCATAAGGCATTGGCACTGCAACTTCTGCTCGCCCCAATTCTCTAAAGGTTTCTGCATCCAAGACAAGCAGGAAAGCACTATGGTTCTGCAGGGTGAAAAGAAAGCCAGAATGAATAGCCAGGCTGAACTTCATTCCAGTGTCAGTTTTGTGGTATGGAAAGTAAACCTAATACTATGTGACTTTGACAAACTAGTAGCAGTAAAATTACCTCAGCTGGGCAGACCACAACAGACAAGATGACTCCACTGTCTTCTGCTGTGGCATTAGGCACTGGCACAAACACAGGCTCTGATGGGTAGGATCCATCCTCCTGCCAAATCTAGCAAGCACAGTAACATATGGATTTGTTTCATATCATTAATACTTGTCTACTACAGTTAGCAGAGTTGCAAGTTGGAGTGCTCCCCACAAAGATGCCCAGGCACACTCTGTCCTCCAAGAAACCTGCAGTTCCACCTTTTAATTAATTCTTTTGATTCTACAGTGTGATGATGCCATTGTTGTGACAGCATGCGTATTGTGCCAGGCATCATGCAAACAGGGAGTGAAGAGGGTTTCTATAACTCATTTCATCCAACAGCTTGCACTGGCACAGATACAAGCTACAAGCTCAGAAAGCACCACCATCCTAGCTGGCACAGCCATCTTCACATCACCCTAGTGCAGACCATGTTGTTCCCAGGTCAGTTCAGTGGAGTGAATCCCACTGCTGAAAAAAGACTCTTGCTTCGCCTCACCTTGAAATCCTTGGTCTCCACATCAACCTTGATCAAGGAATCTCCAACCAAATGCCCAAAACCACATCCATAGAAGTAACGGTACTTCCTACCGTTGTACTTAGAGTAGTTGATCTGGGGGAACTCCAAGCCCCCAACCTTTTCAAAGCCTTCAGGGTGGAGATTTTCATGTGTGCACCAGACCTAGAAGTATGCATTACACAACTGTCAGTTTAGCTTTGACTGGGCAGAAGACCTGACTGATCCCACCTACCCACTGCACAACCACTGTGGAGAAGAAATGTTTAAAGATGAGCCTGACACTGAACTTAGGCAGGTAGATGCACCAGTTCCATCTCTCTTGTCTGTTTCACCCAAAGAACCAACTCATCATCACAGATGTTGGAAACTTCAAGAATCAGTCTGATGTGAAAAGCAGAAGTCTACATACTCCTGCACTGCTAGCTGTACTCGTTTTGGCTAGGGTAGAGTTAATTTTCTTCATTGTAGCTAGCATGGGGCTATGGTTTGGATTTGTGCTGAAAACAGTGTTGATAATTCATGGATGTTTTCGTTACTGCTGAGCAGTGCTTATACAGTGTCAAGGCCTTTTCTGCTTCTCACACCATCCCAGAATTGAGTAGGTTGGAGGTGCACAAGAAACTGGGAGGGGACACAGCTGGGACAAGTAATCCCAACTGGCCAAAATACCATATGACATCATGCTCAGTGTATAAAGCTGGAGAAAGAAGAAAGAAGAAGGACCATTCCGAGAGATGTAATTTTGCCTTCCCAAGTAACTATTACACATGAGCCCTGCTTTTCTGGAGATGGCTCAACAACTGCCATACTGCAGGAAGTAGTTAATTAATTCCTTGGTTTGCTTTGCTTGCATGCATGGCTTTTGCTTTATCTATTAAACTGTCTTTATCTTAACCCACAGTTTTTTTCACTTTTATTCTTCTGATTCTCTCTCCCATCCCACTGGGGCAGGAGTGAGCAAGCAGCTGAATAGTGTTTAGTTGCTAGCTGGGGTTAAACCACTACACTTAACTCAAAAAATCCCACATCCAGCACTCAACAGTCTGATGTACAAAGTACATACAGAGATGACTCCACTCATAGTGGACAACACATGCTCTACACCACCGAATGCCACTCTGTAGGGCTGTTCAGGCTGGAAGCAAAGAGCAGTTCTGTACCCAGGTGAAAGCAGAGACTATTTTGTCAATGAAGTTTAGCTAATTATCATAAAGGCTCATGATACTCTTGGGCATTTTTGGAAAGTCACAATCTGTCTTTGCTCCCTCGTTTAAAGCAATTTGGTAGCCTTGGTATTAAAACACTAAGTCCCACCTTAGTAATGACCAAACCTTGCTTGCTTGGTGGACAAGATCTGGGAAGATAATAGTACAGATTGGTAACTGTTGCAGGCAACCTCACCGCTGCCATAAATGCAGTTATTTAAGTCTTTAATACATACCTTGCCATCTGCATCTTTCACAGCTCTTGCTAATGTATAAGACAGTGGGTTCAGATTCTTCCCCACAGGTGTGTCTGAATTCACATTCAGTGGGAGAACAAAACGACGAGGGAAAGCTCGGGATATTGAGTCATAAATCTATTGCAGAGACAGAAACAGTGATGGAAATAGCAGAGTGGCATTGCAGGCTAAGTGCCTTTTTTTCGAGAACAATTCTGAAGTTTTAGACATTCCTCCCACCACTGAAAACTTCTTTCTATTATGTTTTTTACCAAGTGCTGATTAGGGTTTTTTTTTGTTCCAGTACTTTACAGAAGAAAACAAAAAAGAAAATCAATTAAATGGTTCAGCATTGCTTTCACAGTAATTAATGCTGACTTGTGTATGCAAATCACTCAGCATCCAAATCCAGCATAGGGACATGTGCTGCACTATATTTTATTCATTTGGAGCAGACTTGCATTGATCCTTTTTACAGCTTGTCCACATATGCCCCGCTGACTGTGTGACTTTAGTCCTTCTTGACCAACCAACACCATGAGCTAATAGGGGGAGCAAACTAGCAGCCTCAGTGTGGGAGACATCCTGTGGGTTGTATGAGAAGAATAATTCCACTCTTCAAGCGAAGTTTAGAACCCATAATACTTTCAAATATTAAGCCTTCCAAACAAAATAGGTGGCAAGGTTCTGGTGGTTTTCAGTTAACTTCAATCTCTAACTCACCAGTTCAGTTTCACTTTAAACATATGTGTTAATCTTGAAACCCTATTTTCAAACCTTTTAGGTTCTGTGTAACCATATTAAACTGGTTGAGGAACTCTGCCAAACAACATATGGTTAGTCAGCAAGCAAAAGCACTAAGCATGAGTCGGGGAAACCAGACAAATCGTGTTTAGGCATGCCCTGAGTCTGTCAGTGCAGTGTCAGTTTAAGATTCCATTCTGAAATGACTTGTACTGATGTGTGTGTATGTGTCCTGGGTGCAGTTTAATGGCTGTGCTGTTTGTCAGTTAAAGAATGTGGTTGTTGGAAACACATGCATCATAAGGACATATGGGCACTTTCAGACTGATCAAATTATAGCTTCTGTGCTCAGAGAAGGCTGAACAAGAGCTGGAATCAGTTTGTAAAACAAATACTCAAACTATACTTGAATTAATGTTCACCACAGTAAAGGAAAGCAGAACAAAATGACCCTATGGGGACACAACTGTACTTTTCAGATTAGAACTGATTTGCTTCTAAACAGGTCAGAACAAAGACAGAGGAAGTTCAGATTTGTCTGAACATGTTGCTCAAATGCCTGCCCTTCACCCACAATATGATGTGCTTCCAATAAACACACCTGCAGTACAAGAAATTGAAAGCACCCCCACTTTTCCATTGTCTGACCTATGCAAAATAATGCCTCTTACATGGCATTAAATGGTGCTTTTGACAGAGTTGGACAAAACAAGTTATTTATGATTACATGCTATTGTGAGGTGAATGTGAGGAACAAAGTAAGAGTTCCTGTGATGATTGTGTTTCTGTGAATGACATAATAAAGGCAGGTTTTCTGAAGCAATGCCTTTAAACAGGGTTTTCTTTCTTTTGCATGAAAAGTCATCAAAAATTTACTTAAGAGTCATGCATAAACTTATTTTGCATACTTTCTTGGGGGAAACATTTTATTACACATGGGTATGGAAAATGAGTATCATTAAAAATGACATTTTAAAACAAGTACATTCTGCCAGGCTGATGGAGTTCTGTCATACACCAGTTTTAAACTTTTCAAGAAAATGCTCCATGGAAATTATCTCCTAGGAGACTTGAAAGAAAAATACCAACAGATCAATAGATCGTTATTTTAGTTTTTCCTTGTAGTTTCCTTTCCCAGTTCACATCCTTCATCCTGTGGTCTCCCAAACATAGTGTTCTCCATTCTACTAACTTGTCCCTTGCTTCAGAAAAGTAACTCAACCCAGCATGGGGCCCCATCAGATCTTACACAACACAAATGCAGAGATCTTACCTGATCTAGACCTTCTCCACTCCTCCGCAGATTCTGAAGTTTGTAAGTACTCAGAGTTGTTCCATCATCCTGGCAGCACAGATCAAGGACCACGCAGCCATGATCTTCAAAGGCATTGATTTGATGAAAAGAAGCAAAGGGCTTACTGTACCACTGCCCTGGCAGCACCTACAGTGACCATAAGTGAGGTTAAATTTCCTCTCGAAAGATCATAGCACCTCAAAGTTTCCTTTTTTCTCTCCCATTTCATTCACCACTCATTCCTTGGTATTTGACTTGTGTCTGTGATACTACAGAATGGCTACTTTAAGCCAGTAAGTAAGCAAAACCAGATGAAGAAAAGCAAAAATGTAAAGCAGCCCAGGATAGGCCCCTTGCTTTCATGACTCCATCCCTATAGCACCATTTTCATGACTGGCTTTTTTATACTCTGTGAAGTACTTGTGAACTGCATTTCAGTCCCTGAGCTGGAATCCTCAAATTGCTTATTTCTCCCTGTTCTTTTAGGGCTGGCAAAGAAATGCATCAATAGAGAGGAAAATGCATGAGGTAATCCCACTTCTAATAAAACTACACAAACTCATATAAAGCCTATATTACAGTAACTTCTGGACTGATTCATACAGCTATCTCTGACTGCTACCCAGCACTGTTCTGGTGGGATCTAACATTCCAGCTACAGCTGCATAGCCTGCTGGAGAGGACAAAGATCCATGTACCTCCCCAGTGTACTTATTCACCACATGGAAGCAAGTATTGTACTGAGGCTCCCAGCTTATCCCTTCGGAAATGGCTTTCCCATGGAGCTTGGAAGTGATAATCTGTAACAGATTCAGCTTGATGGGTTGCTCAATGAAAATGATGTAGTTTTCACTCATTCCTGAAAAGAGAAGGAAGGAGGTATCGTCTGAGCACTAGGCAATGTAGGGGCAGAGGGCAGAACAGCCCTATCTGCCTCACAGTAGGCTAAATCTGGAAAGTTTGAGATAGATAGTATTCTTACCAAAGCTGTGATAGTAGGAGGGTTTCATCCTATCCATTGGAGCAATGGAGCACAGTACTTTCGCTCCTTCTAACGTGTCACTGCAGTTTGACTTCTGTGGAGGGACCTGAATGATGTTATACCTAGACCCTGGAAAGGAGGAAGGGTCTTCAACACCACTGAGACGAGAGACTGCCCACATTCATGAAACCAAAGTCAGGCTCTGTTCCTTTGTTTCCCTAGGATACTAGGAACCATGGTCATAGCTAAACTGAGCAGAAAACAAAAAGCCAGTTGTAAAGTCAATAAAACAATCTATGGAGGATTACCTAGCAAATAAAAAAAGCAACATGAAAGGAAGTAGAAGGATCTTCTCAGCCTGATAGGCTGCCACCTAACTTTATTATCTGCAATGCATTCCTTATGTTTATTTAGATGATCCTATAAGAACAGGATCAGAAGAAAACCAAGTTCATAGCTTGTGCATCAAAGGAAATGAATACTTGAGCCTTGGTGATTACTTATACTCATTTCATAAATCTGACCACATGGGCAGGAAAGAATGGCATATTTGGAATATTAATCTGTAGTTTGGTCTCTCCAGCTGAAAGGAGCATGTGCTGCAAAGATGGATATTGCTAAAGCCAAAAGGAAATGAAAACAGCACAAATGAAAAATGATCTAAATTGGGCAACTCTTCAGTGAACTGGAACCAGCCTGAGGTACCACAACGAAGAGCAGTGGCTGTTTGCACAGGCCTCAGGCATGTGGAAAAAGAAAAGGCTTTCATGTAACTAATAGGGAAAGCTAGCTCTGGGCAGCTGGGTACCTGTTGAATATACACAGGCCAAAGTTAGAAGCAAACTAATTGCTGACAGAAGCCATTGTTATGGGACTGCCTGACATTCTGAAATAAGAACTAATCTGGTTTGCCATCATTTTGGCACAAAGAGAAACAGCATCTTCAAGGTCTCTTTAGACACTGAAGTTTTTTCAAGGACCGCTCTTTGAAGCAGCAGCAAGAAGCAGCCTGTACACTCTGTCTACAAGCCAGGCCTGTTCACGCCCAGTCTTACCATGTTTCCCGTATGAATTTCCCATGTTGTATGTTGTGCCATCAGACTCATAATGAGGATGAGCAGTGGCCCCATTCACTGCAACAAATTTGCTCCAGTCTACCTGCAAATGCCAGAGAATGTCAGTCAGTATAGAAGCTTCCTGTTGCTGTGTAGCAAGCCACAGCCCTTCTAAATGTCAGTTTCATGAACGTCTGAGGAAAAACAGCATAATGATTATGGCTCTAGTGTGGGATCTGGACTTAAGCCTTCATTTTATGTGGAATCTTCCTAAAATCCTTGAAAATTAACAATGTTTCTCTGGGTGTTAGTCCTACCAGTAAAATGTGACTAATAGCACTAGCCATTTCTCTGAGAGACATGAAGGTTACTAACGGCAGGAAGAGTTGACATGGTGGGAATGTTGCCCTTATGAGCAGTGCAGCTAGGACCCCATGGGATAACCACAGAGATATGCATGAAGAGACAGTCACTGCCCCCAAAAATCACAGTTTTTGAAAGTACCTATAGCTAATTGACAGAGTTTACTCTCCTCACAGAAAAATCAGTTCAGCTTCGATGGGTACAGCTAGAAGGGAAAGTTAGGACAAAGGTACAGTTGTCAGTACTGTTAACATGTATTCCTAGTTCCTGGGTTAGGGTATCATTTTGGCTCAGACAATGCAGGGGCTGTGTTGGGAAGAAAGGCTGAAGGAAAAGGTTGGAGGAAGATCAATCAATGCATCTAAGAAGCAGCTTAAATGGGATTTTATTTTAATGAGATGGCTCAGAGCTGAATGTTCAAACTAAAAGTACTCACACATCTTTTCATTACTGCATTATGGTTTACAAAACAGATAAAATGGCAGATTGTCAAACTCAAGTATAGAGCATGCTATACTTCATAAACAGAGTTTTTTCATGACTCATAACTGATCCTGTATGAAGGGAAAGACCCCTGGAATGCCTCCCTCAAGATCTGAAGGTGTGCTAAGCCTGGTATTTTGTGGTATTAAATAGCCTGTCATAACATACAGGCACAGTAGTTAAAACTGATTTAAGAATGACAGAATCCTTCCTCAGATCTTCTCACATTCCTCTAGCCCACCTAATACCCAAATTCACTATAAGGGTGCAGGCAGGGGGACATACAGCTTATGATTGCATTTCACAAGTCATTCTTCCCTCAAATACAGCCACCCTCCTGTGAGATGATGCACAGAACATATGGGAAGACTTCTGCTCTGACTTTTCAATTCACTTGTTAACTAAAGTGGCAAAAATGAACTCTGACTTGGCTTTACATTGATTTTACCACCTGTTCACAACAGAGGGTTTAGCTGAGACTCTGAAGGGCAGTGCTGGAGTGTTTAAAACTGGGAGTGTAAGAAGGAGGTAAAGGGAATAGATAGGAAGAATGAGAGATGAGATCAGTGATGTGAACTTCTTCCTGTATGCACTTGTATCCTTCACACACTGGTAGATACAGGCAAGTCCAGACAAGTAGCGACTGCACTGTAAAAATGCCAGCTGTACCCAAACGGAAATTAGACTGTCTCCCCCTTGCTTGCTACAGTGGGCAGTGACTGAATCTTCACTCACGAAAGCCGCCTTTTTGCTAAGAGATTTTTCAGGGACTCAATCACATCACGAAGAGATGCTTATTGCTATGGCCCAGAGCTGCACTGGTAATTTCTTTTGGAATCTGCCTTCCACCTTGCTGCTCCTAGAAACAGCAAGGAATACCTCCTGTATCATAAACTAATTCCCTTATCCCACCTGCCCACACCTTTTCCTTCGTTTCAAGCGTTTCCGGGTCCACTTTGTACATGAAGATGTTCTCACTGGTGGCATAATAGTCTCCTTTATACACAACGTAGTTCACACTGGCATTGTCACTTGGCTCTGAAACAAAATCCTGTGTTTGTACACAGCTCTGTTTAAGTATACATCATATTACAGCAAGTTAGACATGTTTAAACAAATAAACCCATTTGCAATGAACTACTCCTTGTGACTGATACCTCACTAATCTACAAAAGGCCCTCAGGAAACTGTCTGCACAACTGAGCTCAGAACAAAAGGACAAGGACTGGTTCTGGATGAAGTCACTGAACCAAAGCCAAGATAATCTTCATACTGCCACACACTGTTTGTTTCAGACCTCTTATTACTCTCCCTTTCCTCCTTAGCCAAAGCCCTCTCTTCTGACAGCCATATGAAGAGTGCCTTGTTTGATTTACAGCATTGGAAACAAAAGAGGCAAGACTTCAAGCTACAACTTGGGGTGAGGAGAAGGCAGGGACACTATTTCTGTGACATGGCTTGGACAGGGAATGCTTCTTCCCTCTTCTCTTTCTCTATAATACTGAATCAGGTAGATGCCTTTCAAGAGCTATACACACACAACAGCTAGGGGTGTTCTTGCTACAGCTAGGGGAGCTGAGACTCACTAGACAGGTAGCTGACAAGAGCTGAGGAAAAAGCAAATCCCCCAGTTGAACACTGGTGGGAGCAACACAGAACCTGGAGTTGCTACACAGAAAGCCTGGAGGACAGACATAGCCTACAAGTGTGTAAAGGGCCAAATAGGCACAGGTGTGCAGTAACAGCCTGCTGGAGTTTGGAAAAGAAGATGGGAGATGTAGATAGCTTTGAAATTTATTGAGAGATTTATTACTGGGGTGGGGAGCTGGGGAACTAGGCAGACCAGTAAGTGAAGGTATGAGCACCTCTGAAGAGAACAGAAGCATGACAGGACAGGGTTCACCTCCTCAGGGAAAATAAGAAGCAGAAGATAGTCACGCATGTGAGCAACAAGTTGGAAAGTTCAGGTCTGTTCTGCTTTTAGTGGAAAGTACTTTGCTTGCATTTAAGCCTGTTTCTTTCCTGACATACATAGAATCCTATAGGTAATGCTTCTTCCATTCCTGTGCAATATTGTCTCTTACCCTACTAATATAATCTCATGCACCTTAGTACAGGAAGGGATTAGCCCACTTACCCTACAAGCTTAGCAAGGCAAGGTGTTTAAAGGGCAAAGCTGTACCTCAGGTAGAACAGCACATTGTAATGCTCATAATCAGGACTGCACAGGGTGTCCTTTGTGGAATGATTTCTGTTGGAAATTTGCAACAAATTCGGGAATCGAGGTGAGCCAAAGCAGCACTAAAACATTAAACTGAATGTGCCTATTGCAGCTAAGCCTGGCACCAGCTTGCAGGTTTGCTGGTTTTGTTCTAAGGGGTAATCTTCAAAGAACATGGGCTCGCAATAGGCCTACCAGACTTCCTTACATCTCCCTTTAAACCTAACTACAAGTTCCCCAAATCTCAGAATATCTTTTACTTCTTAGAATCCCTCTTACGTGGCATCTCAAAGCGTGACATGAAGCGCCCAAAGACACTCTTGCATGGGTCTGGCATTGCCAGCGTCCCAAATTCTGAGACCATGATGCGGTTATGCTGGCTGTTAGTCAGGTAGGAACTGCTCTGCAGAAACTTGCTCCGATATGTCACTGTGCCATTTTCCAACTGGAATTGATGTAACAGGGCCATGCCATCAAACCAATGGTTAAATCTTCAAGAAGAGATAAATAAGAGAACAAGAGTTGGGCACAATATGTTGTTCTGCCATACCGCTCCCTCCTGCCTTTAGGTTTAGCATTGTTTGTAAAAAGCCAAAGCCCAGATCCCATGAACACATGAACATGCATAGCCTCATCTGGGAGAACATTTGAACTGAGTGAAACAATGTGTAATTGCAGCTGTGGGACCTGAAGTTAGATTCTTTCAGTGAGATTTAGGCTCCCTATATTACTTTTGAAAGTGACCTCAGGGACTTCTGAAAATGCTATGTATAAGCTTTTGGGGGAAGTAATCTCCACTGGTAAACTCTGCAAACTCCCGCACAGGGAACGGAAATTGTACTATACAACAGGAATACAAATTATTACTGGAAGTCCAAGCGCACAAGAAGGAGCCTGTAGCTCTCAGCTGGTTTCAGGATTGTATTCCCTCTGAAATGAGGTATCTCTGAGACACTGAGAAAACCTTATGGTTTATCTCTACAACTGTAATGAGAAGATCACCTTTTGGCCAGTTGCTGCCACCAGATTCAGTGGAGGAAGAGCTATGTTTGTCAGTTAGCTAGAATGGCAGATTCCGAGTCAAAGGCAGTAGCTGCCTTCTTGGAATATTTAAAGACATTATTTTTAAAATGAGAGGCATTTGTTTCTAAAGCAAGTCATTTTGCACAATCGATTTTACAAACTCTGTCCCAGATTTCAGAGTGTTCATAGGATGGACTTTGTTCATGACAAAGGACTAAGCGTGTGAATGTTTTAATCCCCGATCCGTTCACTCATTATACCATTCTCAGTAGGTCACAGCCTCTCTCTGACTCAGCTTCTCTAACCTTAGTAAGTTAACCATGCTCCTATTTTCAGAGAGCTCACTGGGACATTCCAGATGAGGGAGCAACTGTTTTCTAAAAATATGGTAACACAAGCATTTCTTCCTCGTCTTACTCAAAAAGAAACTACAATGTGCTCCTACCAGTGGTGAGACATTTGAGCGGGTCCCCTTTAGTTTTAGGCAGAGCTCAGGCCAAAATCATTTGACAAATTCACCAAACATGGACTTACTTCTCCTTGCCAAACTCAAACTTTCCAGGACCATTCCTCAGAAGATTGCCATTTATCCATTTGGGAATATGTCCTTTAATCTTCGCTGGGATGGGTTGAGGGGTCTCCTCTACCGTCTGCATTAAGGGTGAGATGCATTGCAAACCCTTGGGGCTGTGGAAGGTGATTTCCTCTTTTGATGGGTTGGGCAGGAAATTCTTTAAACCTGCAAAGCAAGCAGTGAGAACAAAATGCAGGTGACTAAGATTCTCGCTTGAATAAACAGTCAGCTGCTAGAGCTTAAGTTTGGATGTCTAGAAGAACAGCATTTAGCTATTCTTGGCTGCAAGCAGCCAAGCTGTAGCTGATATTCAAACTAAAGCTGTGTTCCCATAATACCCCACAGCATCCCACAGAAAGCTGAAAATCCAGTGGATTTATCTTTACTGTAATTAATCCATTAGAAACACCTGTTCTGTAGTCCAGAGGAGGTAATAAAACACATGAGAATGATAGGAAAGAGAACTTTTCTTTTAATTAACAAAGCTTCTATTCTGAAATTTTTTCAATAAGTAACTGAGAGGAAGTAATAAATGAAGATTTATGATAAGAATCTGTGAGGTTTCAAAAAGAAATCTGTTCCAAGCTAGGATAATACACAGAGCAATGTTGAGGGGGAGCCCTAAAAGTAATCTCCCAATGATTTCTGACAAGCAGTCTGCTGAAAGAAGTGACAGAAAGGAGCTAGTCTTACCCTTGCAGACCAAAGCCACAAGAGGACTGGTGTTAAGTGGCCATCCTGTAAAGCAGTGCATGTTCACAATGCTGCCAAAAGCAAGGCAGAGCTGCGCACACCTCAGATAAAAAAATCTGCATTCTAAAACACCTTCTAACTTCACCTTGGTATTACAAAGGAGGTCAGGAAGAACACAAATGAAACTGAGCTGAAATACATTTATAGGACAGGAGAAAACAGATTAAACAGCTTTCCTTGGTAAGTAAAAGCTGTCATGAGAAAAGGACAACTTCTGATGGAGCCTTTTGTTTGAATGCAATATCGCCCTTATTAGGCATAGTTACAGGACAAAAGCATCAGGAAAGCATGAACTGATTGGAATGCTGTGTGCTAACAGCACACAGTTAGTTATTGGCTCCAGTAGCCTGGCGTGCAAAGCCTCATCAACACAAGGATTGTTTTAGCAATCCATTTAGCTGCAGAGGTGGATTTACCTAGAAAATACGCAGGTTGTTGACTTCCCTCCCAATGCTATCACCTCCTCACCTAACACAGGTTTCATGTCCACAGGTCAGTGGTGTGGCTTTGCTACACTGCTCCATCCTCACTGTAAGGCTGATGAGCCCTGAACTAACCTAGAACTTATGAAGATATAGGTGTAAATGAAACACTGATGAAAAAAGACAGTATGGCATAAAGAAATCCATTCCTGAACCAGGTCTAGTGCAGACAACACCACACATTAAACAGAGTCCAGACCGATACTGAACTTCATTCTGATTTTTTGATGTAGCAATTTCTTTTGGTTACACTAGTCACTTTCAGCACTCCTTCTAGCCTGCGTTCTTTAATCCACATGATTAAGTGAAGCTGCTGTACAATTTACCTGTGAGCCTCTGAAATGATACTTTCGCATGTACAGAGGGAAATTGTTATTTCAGACAGGAGAATATCTACAAAAGAACTGAGTTGGCAGACAGCATTTTTCTAAGTGTGCTTCTTTAGAACAGCCACAGACAGAATGGGTGTTAGGCATGCAGGAGGGTAAATTGCAAGATCCCTTCAATGTAGTTCTCTGGCTTGCCAATCCTCAAATCCTTCTTTAGGTCTCTAATATTGTAAGTCAGCTAGATAAGGAATTCAGACTGCAGGGCTTAACGCAATTAACCTCAAACCACCAACATCCTCTCCCTCTTAAAATTCAATTAAGTTCTGATTAAATCCTATATGAAGCACTCAATCTGATCCCACCATTAGTACTTCAGAGTTTTTCCTTAGACATAAGGAAGTTTTTCATAGCAACAAGCACCTGGCAGGTTTAGTGACTGCCATCAGTATTTGCAGAAATGCAGCTTTACTATTCCAAGCTCCAGTTTGTAAGGATGTAAAATATTCAGGGGAAAAAAAGAGAGCAATGTGTCCCTAAGGAGGTATTTTTGCATCCAAGCAGAAACAAAGGTGGCATGACCAAGGACAGTACTGCACTGAGACTTCTGGAAAGCAGTGTGATTATATGTGGGAATTTAGAAAGATACACTTCAGAGAAGAGCCTGAACAGAAATGGGTCATCTCATCCCAGTTGCTGTCCCAGAAAGCCATATATATGAATTCTATCTTAAAAGTTACTATGTTTCCTTACACTTATCCCCTCTTCGGAAGGCTGTTTATTGCCCAGATTACTAGAAAAATCCTTTGATTTTACACATGGACTTTATTTATAAGACAATTTGTCCCCCTTGTTCTTCTGTCAGCACTGTTATATGGCTGTGGTAGTAGTTCTCCCTCTCATGTGGTGTTTACCACATGTACTTAGAGTAAGGAATCATATCACTTCCTAAGCTAAGCAAGCTAAATTCTTTTCATTTTCTTCTCCTGTGATCACCTTGCCATTCACATGATCAACTTAGTAATCCTTCCTGAAATCTGATCTAGTTAGAATTTATCTACTTAGAATTCCTTTGAAGACACAGTCAAGAAAATGTCTGAGAACAGGCTGTATACAACAAGAATGTGTAAGTTAATATCCTGTCCTATCAGACCAGAGAGAAAGAAACACGCATATCTTTCTAGCTTTCCTTCTGGGAACTCAAATGAGCTGAAGATCCTGACAGTAATGCATACAAAATGTAATCAAATCGTGATTTGATTTTGACTCACATGAGTCAAACCAATTTTTCTAGGACAATTTTGAAAAGCCAGGAGGGGAGGGGTGCAAGGGGAAAAAAAACCCACGCTTGCTCTGGTGAGTTCGTTCTGAAGAGATTCAGAACAAGAAACAGAAGGCAAAAATAAGCAATGACCTCCTCTAAACCTGACACAACACAAAAAATGTGTCTTTTACTTGCATTACATAAAAAATGTCTCAGTACTGTAGATCACTTTATCCGATCTGGAAACAAGGTGTTGTCAGGAAGTTCCTTAGTGACCATCATCTCCAATTAGAGCAGCTACAAGCCTGGCTGGGCAGACATGGTCAGACAGGTCCTTTGCAGGGACTTTATGCAACCTGGCCTTTTTTTCTTTGAGGAATCATTATCTCTGCAACATACTGAGACTTGATCAGTAGCAGCAGCAGCAAACAACACAGGCATGTGGAGGCAAGAGCAGAAGGGCTGGACAACACACATTGCCCTGACAGCGCAGGAAAGTCTTGCGTTCATTTCAAAAAATGAAGCTGCTGCAATACATATGCAGGATTATACAATACAGAATAAGCACATCAAAGGAAAGAATTTTGGTGCTAGTTTGTGAGTCATCATAGCTGTGTTTAAAGGAAAAGGAAAAAAACCCACCCAAACATCACAGCTGCACATCCTACACTTCTTCCCTATCAGAAAAAAACCTGAACAAAGTCTACACTCGAAATTCAATCATATTTTAATACTAAAACCTGCTACATTTAACTGCATCTACTTCAAAATGCACTGAGCAGATGGAATACAAATACTTCCTACTGGATTGCACTGTTCACAAGCAATTGTAATACGTGTACCACCTTCAGATAAGAGCTCAGCTGTAAAGCTTAGCTTATTTTAACATCCACCTACCCCAAAATCATAGGATCATACAATGGTTTGTGTTGGAAGGGACCTGAAAGTTCTTCCTGTTCCAACCTGCCTGCCATGGGCAGGGACACCTTCCACTAGAGCAGCTTGCTCCAAGCCCCTGTGTCCAACCTGGCCTTGAACACTGCCAGGGATGGGGCACCACAGCTTCTCTGAGCAGCCTTTGCCAGGGCCCCACCACCCTCACAGGGAAGAGCTTCTGCCTAATGTCTAATCTAAACCTACCCTCTTTAAAGCCATTACCCCTTGTCTGATCAGTAGAAGAAGACACAAGTCTCTGCAAAAGACAGAAGACAGACTGATTTTTCATCTTGAGCTGCATTTAAATTAACATTTAATTAGAGAAAATAAAATACTGACTGTTCTGGCTGCACTCCAAAAGAGAAGAAGTAAGTAAGCAATAAATCAAAGGCACTGCAGTCCCAATGGGGCTTACTGTATTTGCTTGAGCATAATACCTGAAAATCAGCACAATATTACAACCTGCCATCTCAGACTCTAGCCTTCACCCTTTGCCTTCACCAGACTTGAACCCCTCAGCTTACCTGAGTGTCCCACACTGATTTCTGAAGTTATTGCACTTGCCTTGTGTCTGCTGGGAAGTCTCCGTACCTGACTCCTTGTTCCATGTAGCTTGTTGATTTCCCAGTGTCGGGGAGTCAGCCACCCAGTTCCTTGCTAACAGGCAAAGCAGAACATGAAAGAAGTGACAGAAAACACAGGGGAAAGAAATGGAGAAAAGGAATGGAGAAAGACTTGTCAAAGGGAGTGAAGAGAGAAAAGCAACTGTGAACTGTGCATACTCTTGCATACAAAATATCTGTTGATTTCCCAGAGACACCTATAGAAATAGGTTCTACACTTCCAGGGTGTTCTGTTTTGCTGACATGAAAAAGTGTAGGTTTTTTGTTAAATATTGATTTACACCATCAAGTCCTTGGGACAATTGTCCTAGAAACATACTGTGAACCTTTTTTGCAGGTTGTTTGGGTTTTTTGTTGTTTTTTTTTTTGTGTGTCTATGGATGTATTCTGTGTTCAGAGCAAGGCAGATTTAAGACCCTTTCCGCTCTTTGGATACCGCAGAGCAATCCTTTTGATTCTCTAGGGGTGGAAAACAATATGCCCACCATCAAAAAGCAGAGATTCTGGTGAATTAAGTCATGATCTTTATTGATTTCTATTTTATGATAGTAGGTATCACTATTAGACAAACAAACAAAAAAAAGACTGCTCTATTTGTGCAATGATACAATGACGGCAGAAATTGCAGAGTTTAATGGTGACACAAAATCCCTTGGAGAAGTTTCCCACTTGTATGTTCAGATCAAAGCTTCAGTAATGCTGATGCTCTAAACAATCCTCTCCCTTTCACATGTCTCCGCCTACATGTCTCACAGCACGCTCCCTTGCAGAGAGAATCTGCTGCTTACTGGTTTTCCAGCTCTAAACCATCAAAAACTGCTAGTAATCCGAAAAAATCTGTGCAATATACTTGCTCCCCCTCTCCTGCTTATCTTTTCGACAAATAACAGAGAAATCCTAGTTCCTACCTAACACTTCAAATTGCTTCCTTTGCATTTCTGATCAATAGAAATTAAATTGCTCTAAACAAACTGTGTCAGCAGCAGGTCTCAACAGCATCGGAAACCCCCTTCCCAAGATGATGGAATAGAACAATTTGTTTATTAATGCATTTTACCTGGAATGAATTGCATCAAAGAGCAGAGGAAATGCCGCAATATAGCAAGCAGGAGGCTGGTGGCAGACAAAAGGATTTTGGAAAACATATTCCGCTCAGAAGAAAGCATCGATCGGAGATGGTCATGCAAGGGTACCGCGCCAGGATGATAGTGTGCAGCCAGCACTGATGGATCGGTTGACGAGCTTCCTGACATCATCATTTCAGAATAAAAGCCGGGAATAGCTTCCCTAGCAGGGCAGGATGAACAAGTCTGAGCGCACTGCACTGCTACAACTGGGCGAAGCAGTCGCAGGGCATAGGGGAGAGCTGCCTCCAGTCGAAGCAGCTCAGCAGCCCTAGACCCTCTCAGCAGCTGGCCCAGGTGTGTTGATGAAGTGCAAAGACATTACCATTGCTGGAAAAATAATGCTATTTGCCAGCTGTAACTTGAGAATTTGGAAGAAAGGTGAGAAGAGGTGATGTATTCTTGTACTGAGGTAACAAGGCTTCAAGGCAGGTGACTATAAAGTCATCGTTAAGAAATTTACTTCAGAGTCTCTACTGGGAGATAGGCTGATTGATCCATGATTCTTTGCCCTCCTTTTTTTTTTCTGGTTATTCACCATCATGATGTAAAACACCCACTCTGCCCTTTTCAAATGCTTCCTTCATCATCAAGGTTTTCAAACACCATTGAAAGAGAAAGATGCTGCAAGTAGCAAAATTGAACTCTCCTGAGTTCTAGACAGAAGGTCATGAGCCTCAAACATATCTATTACCTACTCAGTTTGGTCTTTTTCTGTTATGACCCACATTCCTATATCTATGCCAAAAGGCAGTTTTGTCTTAAGTAAAAAAGTCACAATTAGCATTTTCTCATGGAAGAATTCTCTTTGCTGCGTACCTAAGCAGTCTCTGCATTATCTGCTATTTTCAATTTCTAGCTTTGAAATAATAGAAGAGCAATGAGAGGAACTGAGTATTGGGCTTTCATAATTTACACTTTCCACACTGTGGAAGTATTGACAGCAAGGTCAGACATGAAGAAGACTCACTGCCAAAAGTTCCCTTGACTTCAAGAGGGTCAGAACTTTAAGTTGTTGCCACATTTTTTTTAGAAAAATCCGTTTATATTCTGCTACTGATCTGTCATCTTAGACGTTCTTGTTAACTTACTAAGGCACTGCAGCTTAAAGACCCGGAGGAAAGGCTTAAAGAAAACATAGTGACCAGCTGAGCTTTGCTGATCAGATTTGGCAGCTTTAAAGCCAATTAATTTTCTGTTCAAATCTCCTTCAGTAAAACTGGAAAGCGGATACTGATGGCATTGCTGACAGTTTGATTTCATGTGTACTCATTCCTCAGAACGAACTTCTAGTTTCACATCAGAAGAGAGTACAAAATTTGGTATGTTTCTCCCAAGACATATCAAAATACCCAAGAGAAGCAATCAGTGCAGAAACATCATCAGCAGGGTAGACAAACGGTCAACAACTTGCATGCCAGACTAAGCAGTTCTTCATTCTTCTAGGAAGTATAGTTTTAGTAAGTTCTATTGCATTTTATGAAGTTTTTAAATGGAGCAAACTGCTGCAAGAGTAACCCTGTATGTCTGTACCGTCTTGATGCCCTAAGGGAAGAAACTTAGTTTATGTCATCCACTAGTTTTCTAAGTTCTGCTTCTTAATAATACTTCATACAAGAACTGAAGGTTTTCAACCGGGATATATTAGGTAATAAACTAAATCTAAGTTATCTAAATACTGGTGATATATTGCATAATTTTCACAAGCACAAACAGATAAAATGTAGCCGGTTTCTGACTCTGACAACAGGCAGACATTTAATGGTCACGAAATTCATGTATTTTTCCTTTAAAGACTTATGGAAATAATTACAGGTAAATTTCTAAATTGAGACACTTCATAGATAACAATTTAAAATGGCTTTTTGTCATCATTATAGATGATCACAGATTTTAGAAAAACTTAGCAAAATATTCTAGAAAATTTAACTTCCAAAATATTTTTCTCCCACTTTCTGCTTTTAAAGAGCATTACCAAGACTGATTACAAGATGAGATGTGATTATTAGGAAAAAGGAAGAGACTGGAAAATATGGTGTAGATTAGTGAGGTGATTTTTCTGAAAGTCTTTAGATGCTAAAGATGCGGATAGGCACCTTACAGGATTTTCAAAAATTCCTAAGCATCTAAGGCGCTTACATGCTTAGGCACTTTGAAAATCCTACTAAGTACATATCTGCATCTTTAGGCATCTAAATACCTAGGAAAATCTCACCCTAGATGTCAGTTTCTCTCCTTAATTGCTTTAAATACTATCAGTTTGTCAGGTAGCACATTTGTTTGTGGCTTTTATGTAATAAAAAGGGGGAAAGAAGGATTAAGTCTGAAATAATTTAAACAGAAAATTAATACACAGTACTGGGGTAAAGATATAAATATATGTTATGCTAGCAACAGGACTATCCAGCACTTTTCTTTATTACATTAGCCTCAAAATTTGTACTAATTATGCTTTGTACATTTTATGTTTCATCTTTATTAACAGAGTCAAATGACAAGAAAGAAAAAGTGCTCACAAAAACTCCAGAAGCCTCCTTAAATAAATTGGATATACTGCAAACAATACTGATGTATTTAAATAACAAAATAAAAGGGCAGTGTAATTTGAGATTATTTTAAGGTTATCTAGTTATTTATTGACATTACCAGCAACGTTTTGATGATGTGCTTTGATTTCATTTGAAATCTCTAGAAGTATTAAAATATATTTTCACATTAAGACTTTATACTTCTTTATACATTTCCCAGAGTAGTATTCTTAATAGAGTTTTCCTATTTCTAGATGATTTTTTGGAATTTATTTATATATTGAGACAAAATGGAAATAAGGCTGCAAGTACATTCTACTAAGATTTTAGCACCAAAACAGTTTCTAAAGTAGAAAGATAAAACCCAACACAAAAAAAAGCAAACAAAAAAACCCCACAGAAAATTGCTAATATAAAATAATCTGAAGTCCTGTTCTGCTTACATCACAAAATTATATGTTTCGTAGAAGTGTTTCTACACTATATTCTAGAGCAAAAGAGTGGTTGTGACAATAAAAGAAAAAAACATCCTTAGTGGTGATATTAGAAATACCATGGCTGCTCCTGAATTCAGGTGTATTGAAATTCCACAGCCTTAAAGCCAAGCCATGCAAAATTTATTCTGCTTTCATTTTCAAATGCTTCCACTATTGTCTAGTAATAGAATCACAGGGACAACTTAAGCAAATGATCAACAAGTAAGGAAAGATGGTTTAATGTGTAGAATCCCTTGGAGCCATAGGATTTAAAATGGATATTTAGTATTGTCTTATACTCATTACCATTACCCTATGTGTTGAATCTACTTATTTAAATTGCTGTTCAAGTTGTTGAAAGTTTCCTGAACTGCTGGAAATATTTACCTAAGACATTTACGAAACACACATCACAGCACTCATCATAGTTTATATTTTAATACATAAAATGTACTACAAATTTTGCTCTGCATTTCTGCAGTCTGACAAACTCCATTTAGCTTTGCAGAGTATTTGCAATCACAGTGAATCTCTGTTTCAGACTCTCCCGTTTCTGTTTTAAGTGGTTTTCTATGGTCCTCGCTTCTTTTAAGATTCCATCAAGTTCTTGCACATAAGAAGCATCCATCGCTGCTCTCTCACTTAATTGAAAAAATCTGTAGTTAAAATCAGTTAATGCCATTAACAGTCTCAATTCCTAGAACTGCTTTTATGCTTTTCTTAAAAATGCATTGCCGATCAATACTCGGTTTCCATCCAAATTAGTTCTCAGTTGTAACAGAAACCAGCATTTTTCTGTCAAAATCTGTTTGATGGTTTTCAGTGCTAATTTCTCTAAACTGCAGCCACAGTAATCAATCTTATCTACAGAAATTAGAAAAGTGCTGTACAAATAGGACAAAGTCAACTTGCCTTAAAATGTGAGCATATTTTGATAACAAGTTTGTAATTTCCTTGTTCATCTCTGTTAAAAGAAAAAAAGTAATTTTATTTAAACCTTTGCATGAATTCTCATCTCAGCATTAAATAAGGTAACCACATAGTTACTTTCAGCATATTTTATACGTCACCATTTAAAACTTTCTCCAGTTGTTCAGGTTTGCAAAGGGACTGTGAGCCCTCCGAAAGAGCCAAATCTGTTTTGTCAAGGGAAGACAACTCAGGATTTTCTGAAACTTCATTCTAATAATAGAGCACAAAAAAAATAAAATACAGGTTCTAGGATTTAAAACAAGATCAGCACAGGTAGAGTTTAACTGAGTTAAAAAAAAAGGACCCTGAAAGGCTGTTTTCAGACACCGTGCATCATGAAGAGGCACAGCGTCTGTGGGAGTGGGTGGGAAGTGCCAGCTTGGGCAGTAAAAGCTGGTGTACTTCAGAAGTTTATTCTCCATAAGTCCTGCATAACAGTGTTGCACTGCATGCCCAATTTCACTGCTCTTCAAACACTAAGAGAAACTGTATGGCTTCCTTACACAAGAAAGTCGTATGTGTTTCTGCTGACCTACATAAACGGACATGGAGCTCTTTGCCCTCTCTCACGGTGAGAGGAACCCATTGTAATGCCAGTGAAGGCCATGGTACTGGGGATGTTGTACTGCTGCCCTGGGGCCAGAAAGTGGTCCAGATCCTCCCTCCCTCACACAGCACGGCTCACCTCCATCTCTTTTTTACGTTTACTTCTACTCTCATCAGGCTTCTGAGTGTTGCTTGTCATCGTTGCCTCGTCAGAAGTACAACGTTGTATTTGGTAAGTGGTTATGTTGTGCGTCTGGAAATCATATCTACATAAAAATGCATAAACCCTGTAACCAGCACCTCTTTAAGCTCCTCTGCAACAGAGCTATCCTCCTCACCGGAGGCAGGTAGAGCCTCCAAGCATGGCGAGAGAACCGATCAGCGCCGAAGACAAGCGGGTCCGAGCGCCAGGCTGGCCTGGGCCAAGGCGCTCCCAAGGGTGCTGAAGGGTGCTCAAGGTCGGCCTCGGGCTGCGAAGGCCGATTCTGCCTAGTTTAAAAGCAGCCCGTCCCTCCTTCCCTGTTCTCCCTATGCTTCCTCAGTACCCGCCACCCTTAAGCACATGGGGGCACCCCCTCCGCCGCGGAAGCCTCCCCCCCCTCCCCGGACCTCTCTCCTCACGGTTAACGGTCCTCGCGGCCGTTAAAGGCCGGCGCGCGGCAGGGCGGCCGCGGCGGGCCAGTTGCGGGCGATGCCTTCCCCCCGCGTCCCGCGGCGCTGCCCCGGCCGCTGAGGCAACTGGAGCCCGCCCTGGCGCCGGGCCCCGGCCGCCTGCGGCCCCGCTGTGCTCGGGGCGGCTGCCGGGGAGGGTGGCTGCAGGCCGCGTAGGCTGCTTCTGCAGGGGGTCGGGCAGCCGGGAAGGCCAGCGGAGGAGAACAAGGCTGCCCCGCTAAAACGCTTCCTGATGCAGAGGTCCCAGGAAGAAGCTTTCCATCCCCAGCTAGACGTTAAAGCATGAGACTGCCTGTGGCTAAAGTGTTGCCCTGTCCACTCAGTTCCAGTCATATATCGTCTTTAAAGCATCTGTGCCCGGTTCACAATGTGAATCACTGGAACGTTTCGGGATGACAGTGAATGGATCCGTTTCAAAAGGCAAGCCATCAATTAGCAAAATATGAAAGACTACTGCCACTAAAATTAGACAACTGCCAAGATCTACTTTTTTTTTCTCTAAACAATGGAAAATAAGACTTTGTTTTCCTTATGCCGTGCTTCACTTCTGTAAGTAAACTGTATTTGGTTTCTCCAAGAAATGACTGAGTCAGATTACACGATGAGGTGGCTTGCTTACAACAGGAAGAAACTAAACCCAGTGATTCTGGTGAGCTCTTCCAGTATTACACTTCATGTTGTCAGCCAAAAATAGTAAATGCTATATCAAGTTATTACTTTTCCAAAATCCTCTCGGTTTTGTTTTTCAACTTTAATTTCTGGTTTTAAGAGCAGAAAGGGCCTTAACGTTACATATGCTACCCAGACAGGCTCTGAAAGTCAAAACTCAGGACAAGAAATTAAACCACTAAAAGAACAAGACCTAAATACTTCCCCAAAGTAGAAACAGTGTGCTGCCATGGCCAAGTTCATTTCATTCTCAACAATTGTATAGATATTTATGTTAATACCGTATATTAGGTCTGAGGCCACTTTTTTAGTTCAGAAAGACCAAGAGGAAATTTGATTGTACTTCACAGGAAGGAACTATTTGTTACGAAACAGCTATCAAGAAAAAGCACAGAAATGGGAGACCAGAGCCAGAGGCCAGTTAAATTTAGACGGATTTCCCCCCACACTTCCCCATCAGAACTAACCATTAAAATAAAGTGCCAAAAGGAATGGTAGGATTACAGTTGTTGGTAGGATTACAGTTGTTGCATATTGAAATCAGCTAGATCTAGGTGTTTAAATCAGATTTTTATATCTCTCTGGTATACAGGTTTAAGTAAACACAACTCCACACGTGTACTGAATGCCATGTAACAAAACAGGAAGCTGAAAGGGGATGATGTAATATTGCTGGCTGAAATTCAATCAGTGTAAGTGGGTGTCTGTAAATAGCAATATAGATTTCTTATCTGGAAGCAATAGCTGCCATAAATGTACTGTTCTTTGCTTATCTCTCATAAACAGGAGGTTTTACTCTGTTGCTGGATTTCTCTGGGGTGTTTTGTTTTGGTTTTTTGTTTTTCATTCTTCTGAATCATTTTCATTAGTTTCTCTCAGGAGCTTTAAAGAAAGAAGACAAATTTCTGCAGCACACATTTTTTGTCTGAACACGTCAGTGAAATACAATGCTCCTTGTGGGTAGAGCAGCCTTAAATCCAGTTATTAGTACAATGTACAGTACTTTTATATGTAAGATTATTAGTCCAGGTGACCTTGAAAGATGTACCTTAGACCTCAAAATTACCTCCCTGGATTTATCCTACTGACAGTAATACATTCCCTACAGGTATGTATTACACCTCCCCTCTGTCCCCAGCGACAGTAGTAGGTGTGCAGACAAGTGAGAAAACATCTTATGGTCTTAGGTTTTATCTTGGTTGAGCAGTTTGAGAGGGGTTGTTTTTTGTTTGATTTGTTTTTTCCCACAGCCCAGTATTAAAACTTGAGACTCTTCAATTTGCCCATTGAGCTACACGGTTGAATGCCCTAATGCCTTGCTAATCAACATGATAAACAGAAAATGGATGCACCAAGCTTCTAGTTAACACTGCCAAGGTTTACAAATGATACAAAACATTGGTCGGTTATTCATTCCCGAGTTGATCTACCTGGTACTTCATGGCCCTAGTTGTCCCATCACTACACAGTTTGCCATTACAGCAATATTTACTGCATTAAGCACTCCACAAACACCAACTGCAGGACTTACTTCCAAAAAACATCACAGAGCTGCAGCAATTGAGAGCAACACCTATTGCCGTTTTATTTATTTGCAATTAATATATGCCTGGGAAACAACTTACAGCTGATGAAATAGGACCTATCTATTAATGGTGTTTTGACTACGTGGCACAGATTTTGGTTGTCTGTTTCCCTGAGAGGAACCTAAATTCCTCCCTTGCAGCTACTTACATATAAAGGGAGGGAAAACAATTTGAGGGTCTTCCAGCAGATACCAATGGTATATTCTTTGGTGGTGTTCTTATGGAGAGCTAGATATACGCTACGTGTTTTCAATGCTAAACGGGTTTCCCCCAACGGGACCCAATGTTTACGAGCAGTTTGCAAGTGCGGGGAAAAGAGGAAGTCTATGTCCTGACGGCTAGTACCCGGTTGTCTGGCTCCCAGAGACTTTACGGACCAAGCGAGCCGGCTGCAATCCGCTGGTGTAGAAACGTGTCCTCTGTCGACATCTGTGTGAGCTAAGGGAGTCGCAAAAAACTTCCTTTGTAACCTCACGATGTGCATGATTTGCTTTCTCCACCCAGCAGGGGAAGTGCTGCAGAATAACTGCAGACGTAGACAGATATCTGGGGAAAGAGTCCAAAATTTTCCCTGCAGTTTGTTCGGTCGGCTTATTTTGTCGCATCGTGTTGCAAGCCGCCACAAAATCCCCCTCGCTAGACCGCTCTAACAGAGCAGAGATCTGTTTCCTCCCCGTTCGTATGAACTCCTGAAGGTGACACGGCAGTGACGCTTGCCTGGGCAAAGCCTTACTGTCCCGACCGTGCGGGACACCCAGCCGAGCGGCTTTTGGCTCCGTCGCCCGAGGGAACGAGAGCGAGGAACGGGCCGGGATCGCCAAAAGGGTGGGCTCCGGCTGCGGGAGCAGGCGCCGGCGGTCCCCGCCCCTCCTCCGGCAGCGCTCGCCCTTCCGTCTCGCATCCTTCAGCCGCAGCCCGCCGAGGAGCGAGGTAAGGATCACCGCTGCTCCTCTGCCTTCGCCCCAGCGGTGCAGCGGCAGGGGTAGGAAGGGGGAACTCTGTTCGGGAGCCGGCTCCTAGCCCTCAGCTCAAAACTCTGGGAGCACCCCCGCCCGGGCAGCGCGCCGCATCCCGCGATTAAGCGCATCGGGCGGAGAGGGTTGTGCGCTGCTGCCTCCCTGTGCAGGGTGCGCCGCTCTGCGAGGGAGGAGATAATCCTAAATCACTTGCTACTAATGAACAACACTACTGTGTGGGATCGGCAACTGTTCCTTTCTTGTGGCTGCAGCAAGCGGCAGAGCCTTGACCCTCCCCTTGGGCTGGCATCCCTGATGGGCTCCGCTCCAACACAGGCGCCGAGCGGAGGGCGGCCCGGCTCCTTTTGTTCCCTGCGGGGCAAGTTATTACACAGTACCTCGAACAGTCAGCTAAAAGCTCCTTTTTAGCTTACAAACGCGCTTGGTAAAAGATGTAACCGTCTTTTACTACACATCGGGGGAAGAAGTTTGGTCGGTTTATGTTTCCCGCACTTAAACCAAGGGCCACCTTCTCCTTTAATCATGCATTGGTAAGTCCTGCCTATGTCTTCTCCTCTGCAGTCTAGGACAAAGTAATCCTACACTGCTTGGTTCACTTCACTAGATATGAGGCATGCACTGTTATGATAATGCTATATTTAATTTCAAAGGCTTCAGTATGCATGTTTGGAAACAAAGATGCAGTCCTCTGCTATGAACCTGTCTGTTCTGCACAGACCATCTAGAACTATAGACCATATAAAAATAGGATGAGAAAAAAGCACTCTCAATACATTCTTCAAAGTGCTCTACTAGAGGGACAAGGAAACAAATCACTGTGATTCCCTACCCCAGTCCCTAAGGTTGAAGAGTGCTTTTTTATTTAAGTTGGCATTGTTCCTTGTTCTGTACAGTAAGTCTTTTCCAAATAGTGAAAAAGAGCCTTGGAAGTAAGCTTTGCACAATAATATCCCAGTGCTGGACACAGATCTTCCCATTGTTTAGCTAGCTTTAACAGTTTAAGAGCTATTACATTTATTATTTCTGTGGCTAGTACAAGGGGAAAGAATGCCTTGCCAGTTAGTAAGACTGAATGAAGTACTTCCTAGTCTAGACTACTTACGAAAATGCCTTTATTTCTAAAAACATAAATAAACCAGGGAAGAACACCCATACGCAGAAAGCATTTTAGGAAAATGAACAAAAAACTTACTAAGATACAGACTAAAGGAAACAGGAAGTGCAACCTGCATTTCACAAAATTAGTGGCATAGGACATTTCAGAACTGTTTACCGCCAGAGAAGAACTAAATTCTTTGCTACATCTTTCTCTTTCATATTATAATTCTTATAATTTTTCTTTACAGGTAGGAGATGCTATTTTTAATGTTGAAGATTACATCATCACAATCACTATCAGTTTTAAAATAAAACTAATTGAGTGCTTATTTCTTAGAATTACTCCTTCCAGTGGCAACCATCCCAACAGCAATACAGTTGCTGAAATACCAGACTTTACTGTTCAATTCTAGTCAATACAGGTATTCTTCTATAGGAAGAATTCCAGCTCCAGATACAAAAAACACAGGCCTTTCCAAGGAGCAGTCTAAGGTGGACTAAGTTAGGGGTTTTTTGGAAGTTCTGTCTTTTATGGAGGGAACCCGTAAAGATGAGTCTGTATAAGTTTAATACAACTTTTATTGCTTAATGGTCAGTAACAGGGTGCTTAATCCAGTTTTAGTTACTTTCCCATTTGAAAATTAGAAACAGAAAATCAAATGACTATGCAATAGTAAGACAACTTCTCCAGACACAAGAGAAAATAACTGATTTGACAAAGTATGTTCATGGAGCTACACATCATTCTCATAGAAAGAGAAAATGGTAGTGAGTTATTATTTACTCCTGTGTAACATCGTGTAAGAATTAAAAGTGTTGTAAAATAACAGAACCTGAAGGATGCTCTAGGTTATTCTGAAAAATGGTAAAAGCAACAGGAGACCAATTATTTGAAAAAGCAATTTAACAGGCAGTGAAACATGCCAGCTCTATTGTAGTATTGTGCACTAGAAGAGAACTGGCTCAAGAAGTCCCTTGCTTTATAGATTAAGAAGCATTGTTCTTAACTGAATCCTCTCCATATGTTTTTGTAGAGTGAAGATGAACGAAGAGACTGTGTGTGCAGTACAACTTGGAGACAATTTCTGCCTCTATTTTGCAGGTAATTACTACCCACTGCTGGGAGGGACATACTGTCTTCTTTCTGCATGGAAGATTAAAACCTGATACACAATTCAGTCCTTTCCTTGGGCTGGCATCCCTGTTTTTGTAGAATCCTGTTTTTTCCCCCCTTGTTACCCAAGCGATCCTCAAAGCACTTTCAATCCCCACCCACTTAGCAGAACAATTCCTAGATTATGGAGCCAGGTTGTTCACTTCAAAAAGCATTTGAGTTTCAGACAGTTGTCCCAGTGTGTTAACAGGTCAGTCTGAAATACTCCTAGCCAAGTACCTGAGTCAGCGGAATATCTGGTGCTTCATAGAGTATGTTCCTGTAAAGGACACTCAGAAGGGTTGGAATACTGTGGGATGGACCTGGAAGAAGTGGAGACTTCCTATCTCATACAATACAGTTAGTTAGAAAACAGTCTCTTCTTTAAAAGCCATTTGCAATGATTGTTTCTTGTCCTTTTGCTCACTTAAAGGTGCTGACAAAACCAAAAATTTATATACCATTTATTCCTTGGTTATAGGCTTAAACTGACCTGAGCTGCTCACCCTTAAGTAACCCTAAAACATTCTCCATACCTCTTGGTTGGTGGTAACTCCAGTTCTCAAATGACTGGTGGTTTCATCACCCTGTTTGTTACACTCACAAATTAAATGCACTCTGTAGTTAGAACAGCTCAGCTTGGTGAGTTAGTGATAATGGGGAGTACAACTGGAAATGTGTAGGTGGCTGGCTGCCAGCCCTGCAGAACAAAACTGGGTAGAATGGTTTCTTTTGTGGGGGCAGAAGTTAATGGTGTTTTTTCTTTCCTTTTTTTCATTGCTCACTTGGAACCAAGATGATGATGGTAAGATGAAAGCTCTTATTAACTTATCAATTTTATGTGAACTAACCTGCTTACACTTACTAACCCATAAATGTTTACTGTGCCTGAGAGAGCAAGTTTTCAAACTGATAATGGCTACTGTAAAACTGAGCACTACAGCTCGCAGTCTCCTTTTGAAGCTAAAGTTCCTTTATTTCTTCCTAAGGTACAGAAGGACCTTTTAATGCAATTCTAATTGTGGGGTGAGAGAACTGTTGCTTCTGAACTCTCATTAACAGATATGGTAGCTTCTCTTGCTTATAAATATATATATATATATATATATATACACACACAGTCTGCTGTATTCTGGGAAATCCTTCTGAAAAGCCAGAGGTAGGAAGAATGACATGGCCTCAGTTTTGTTTGAGATTGCCATTCTAAGAACTTGTTTCACCTCGTATTTTAATGACAAGATTAAGCCTGTAGCACACTGTTAAGAACTGAGGTAGTCTCCTCAGATAAAATATTAGACCCTCTTCCCTTAACATTTGTACAGGGCTGGAGTGCGATGCCCTCTGTAAGGAAAAAACTCTCCACCGAGTCCTTCGAAATGTAAATAGCCAGTTGCTTGTGGTTCGACCAGATTTAAACATGGCAGCTTTTGAAGACGTGACAGATCAGGAGATGAAATCTGGTAGACTATTTTTCAAATGCTTACTATAACCGTTGCACTGCAGCTTTATTCTAGATGTGCTTTTGTTCTTAGCGCTCACTAACTCAATGGTGAGAGAGTAAAGACTTAAAAAACTCATTTCAAAGAATAAAGCTAAGAGAGCTGATTTTTTGGTTACGTGTGATCACAAACTAAGCTTTTAATGTCTTTTTTTTTTTTTTTTTGGCGGGGAGGTATATGTTGGATAACAAAAAAAAAAAAAAAAATCCAGAAACAATTTTAGGTTTAAACAGACTAAATAGAGCACTGAAAGCTCTTACTTTCTTCTGACAGTAAACACAATACTTGTGGTTTTGGCTTTGACTTCGGGGTGGGGAGGAAGCTCAGCAATTCAGAACTGTATTTGCTGAACATACATATATAGATATAATCTGATTTACAGATGACTATTTACAAATCTAATTTTCACTTTATGCATGCACGTAAGAGGGTCTGAACATCCTAGCCATGCTGGCTGGCAAGTTCACATGCCTTCTTACAAATCCAAAATCTCGGTTATTGAATGACTGCAGAAACTCAAACATATGCTACCAGCAGTGTAAAAAATTCAGTTTTGGCTCTCCTGACAGAAAAGTATCCTGAGAAGACACCAGTTGACAGTGAAACGGTAAGACGTAACACAGTTAAGTTGTTGCCACTCTCTCCTGAGCAAACTGTTAATAATAAACAATTTCTATTTAGGCAAGGGAATGCACTTCAACATTCACTATTACAAAACTACTACACCTTCAGCAGGGATGCCTGTTGCATTCAGCATCCAGGTAGAAGATAAAAGTTATTACATGTGTTGTGAGAAGGAATGTGGAAAAATGACAATTCGATTTAGAGTAAGTATCATCTTTCCATACATTCTGTACACGTAAGTAGGCAAAATGAAGAATTCAAACATCAGTGAACTGAAACAAAACTGCTCAGGTCTTGTGCTGGGACTAACCCATTCCCTTTTTCTTCCTCAGGAAGGAGAAGTTCCCAATGACATTCCTGGTGAAAGTAACATAATCTTTTTCAAAAAGACATTTACATCTTGCAGCTCCAGAGCATTTAAGTTTGAATACTCACTAGAACAAGGAATGTTCTTGGCCTTTGAGAAAGAAGGCTACTTAAGAAAATTAATTCTGAAAAAGCTGACAAGAGAAGATGAAGTGGATGAAACCATGAAGATAAGTTTCTAACTTCAATCAGAATGAAAGTCATAACCTATGACATACTGTAACAGTCTTAAAATATATTCTGGCTTTTTATTAAAGAAATATTATTTCCTTATCTGAGGCAAGCCAGTTTTATGTTTTTCCCTACCATAAGTCAGTACAAAAACAAGTATCTTGCAAAGCAAAACAGACTCAAATACTTGCAAAAAGCAGCAGAATGTTTTCCAGTCAGAAGAGTATTACACATGGAGGAAACAAGAATATGCATGCCTGTATAGTCCTGTATGGTTTGATCCCTCAACCCTTAACCACTTGTTGACCAAACAGCTTTTTAATTAGGTGACTCATAGATGAGGTAAATCTATTTTGGGGAGGGAGAGAAAACCACTTAAAATAAGATTTCATAAGAAGACCATGCCCCTGCCCAATGAACACTCTTTTATATCCAGATTATTTCCTGAGCATCTTCATCAATCCCAGTTACACAGTGGTGACATTCCCACCTTCAACTGAAGCAGAAACAACAAACTTTTAACTTACTGGAAGTCTTTGCTTAAAAATACTTACCTGAACAATTAAAGTTCTAATACGGATGTCCTCAGAGGGGCAAAGGGAAAAATGCATTTATGTAAGGGGACTTACATAAAAGTTAACAAATTATAGGTTACTGATGAAATGACATGAAACAGACACAGTCCACAATACCACATACAGATGCATCTTGTGTTTGGTCTCAAAAGAGTAAATGTCAAATGCTTTATACAATACATGCTCAGACTGTACAGAGCTACTTACCCGTGACTCATACATGTGCATCTTCCTCACTATGACAAAAGAGTGTTACCATTGCTATCTAAATCAGACCACATCAAACAGAAGCAATCACCTCAATTCTGATCACAAGATTAGCAAAAGTGGCCAGCTGCATGCTATTTCCCATGGTTACCTGAGAAAACACATAAATAACAATTCCAAACCAAATTAAACAAAAACAAACAAAAAAACCTCAAATCAGAAAGTCTTGCAGAATCCAAACAGTAATTAATTCTGTTTATTGCATAATCAGACTGACAGTAACACCACATTTCCTCTTACTATTCACAGAACCACAAAAGTCCCATGAGAATGTGGAAACAGTTAATCTCTTCTTACTACTGCAAAAGTCAAAAAAGATTGAGAAGTTAAAACCCAGAATACCATTTCCCCCCCTTAAATTCTCTAAAACATAAAGACATAGAAAAGCACACTTTGTCAGTTTCAGGTCAAGCAGAAAGGTGTCTTTTCAGTCACACAGGAAAATGTGTACCAGTGTTTATCTAGAAAATAAACCTCCTCCAACTGCTGTAGATGAACACACACATTCCTGGGAAACTATGAAAGCCCCAAGCTGTTTATGGCTCATAACATTAATCTGCAAAAGTATTTTTTTCTAAGTCAATTTTGTATTTTCTAATGGACATTAAGGTTGTACTAAGTCACCTGTGTTTTGTTTTATAACATCGAAATGAAGTAATGCGGAGTGGCAGTATGAGCAGTAATGTAACAATATGATTTAGTATTTGAAATTGATTTTAGGAGAAAGAAAGGCAATAACTATCTGCAGAGAAAACATTTTAAGTAACCCAAAAGTAGCAAAAAACGTTCAGAAGCAGACACAATTTCTGTAAATTTTTTATTGTATGGATTAAGAAAAAAATATTCCCTTTTCTGTATGAACTCTCAGGGTCCAAAGAGTTACAGTGTGCCTTACATACAGTTCAGTTGTGATGTCAGAAATAACAGTTTAATTTTCCACAAGCAAAGTTAATTTTACAAAGTAGGAAACCAAACAAGAGTTGTTTTAGAAAAACACTCATTAGAACTGCCATTACAAGGAAAGTTAGCTTCAGCTATGTAAGTCTGCCACTGATCCCTCCCAATCTACAGTGCAGCTTAAATCAACTCGCTCTCGCCTGGAGTTCATCCACTTTAAATTTACTTTTTCTTTTCTAACATCTTTACTGCTGTTGGATATTTATTTCTAAAAGTCTAGTTCTGAACTTACTGCAGTATGTACATACTATGGATCCCTGGTTATTGACTTGTTTCGCATTAAACACGTTGCTAGAAATATGATGAAGCAGAGGCAGCAGTGAACAATCATGTCTGTCAGGGACTTCATCACTTCTTAGAGGCTCCACAGCATAGCAACAGCCTTGCAGATACCAACATCATGATAGTTAAAGTAGCAGAGGCCAGCAAAGGTAATGGCCGACAGTACATACAGACCCGTATTGGCCAGTTTAATAGGTGTATCTCCATGGACGTAGTCAGTTATAACCTGTCCAAGACCCCTACAGAACAATAAGAAGAAAAAAGATGAAATCAGGAAAGCACATTCCTTAATGAAATTCACTCCATTATTCTACTTAAAAAAATATACATGTTGGCTCAGAGGTTTCTTAATGATACTGAGGAAACACAGCTCTTTCAGATAACAGAATCTGTAGAATTTGCCTCCAAGAAACACTGGGAAAATTATCAGACTTCCAAGGACTGAAAAAAAGAAACCAAAGGAAATATCCCTCTTCATCAGCAAGGTGTTGTTCTAGGACCAGCCATTGTCACGAATACACAGAAGATTCCAGGATGTGTATTTAGAGTAAAAAATAGTTGCAACCAAAAAAATCAGGATACTTTGACTTTTTTTTCGACATCTGACGGACTACAAGTGAACTCTCATCCAGGTTTAGGCTATCCAGCAACAGGAAGACAGAGGATGCTATTAAACTAACACAGTAGCTCTCTTGTACAATTTTGTACAAGTTCTATTGTACAAAATGACAATTCTGTTTGCTTTGTGCAATGACAGATGTCAACCTGGTTAAAAAGAGATCCATATCTAATGCAACAATTTTTTTCCTAAGATTTTGCCTTGGTCTGACCTGAAGGTGAAGGACTTGTGTCCCACAGATAAAGAAAACACACTAGTGATGTAGTAAAATTCAAAGTCCTGCTGCAGCAGATGTCAGTGCAAGTGAACACGGAGTTCAGTTTCACTTAGATGGGGTTCTAAGACCATAAACAGTCAAAAGCATGAAAAGAGTCACAAGGAACCCCTAGATACACAGAACAGAAGCCTGATGTGGAAGCGGTAGAAAGGCAACTACTCCCAAACTACTACAGCTATTTTTACAACTGGACAGTAGAATAAGGTCATGAGTGACCAGCCCTTACCCACACTTCAAGCATTCAAAAGGGTGGATAAATACATCATAGTCAACTCAGGATTCACAAGCTGCCCTTCAACTGTACTGTTGATAAGGGATTTTCATAAGATCTTTATATGGCAGAATAAGACTGAGCCAAGCTAAGACTTTTCAGAAAAAGTGGTCTGTGACTTTACAACACACTCATTAATTCACAAAAGCCCTCATGGGAAAAGACCAGTGTCCCCAAGAACAAGGAAGAGAATTAGTGAGAAACAGCTGATGTGCAGTAGACACACAACAGTGAGGCTTTACAAAAAATGGTACAAGATAAATATGGCTCAGGTATCTTGAGTACGTCTACTCGTAGGTTAGTGTTTGGACTGATAACCACCTAAATACCTAAAGCACTATTTCCAACCCAGGACAATACTTTAGGACAAGATTTCCTAAGCAAAAAGGTAGCAACAGGTGAAAGAAGACACCTCAGAAATATACACAATACTCCTCTGCAGTTTCTGTTCAGCTATAAGGATTATCTGACCTGTAAGGCAATAACATTCATGGCACGCATTACCTTTTAAAGATATTCTAGCCCTATGAAAGGAGAAGAGAGTTTTCTTACGTAGTAACACCTTTAGGTGAGCTTCTACAAGATAAAAACGTCAAGATTCTACATAGCCAGTGGCAAGGAAGCCCTCTTAAGTAAGACGCTGTGCAGAACACTAAAGAATATTTATGGATTTCTTTTTAGTAATATCTATCCTCCCTTCTGACTGAGAGGAAGAGTGGCAAAGGAAGACCAAGGTATGACTAGTCTTGTCAAAGACCATGACTGTCGCAGAACTTCGGAGAGTAAGGTATTTTACACTAGATCAGGAAATGAGCCAGTAGACCTACTGTCATATACAGATTTAAGATTTAAGGAGTCATCCTGACTATCAGACTTTACTCTTAATTCTGAAGAACCTATTGTGCTTACCAGTGGCCATGGAGAGTAAGGGCTGCAGCCAGTGAATAGTCCATGGCTGGTCCAGGATACAGGTAGGCTGCAGGAAGGAGACCCAGCAAGAGGACACTGACAGCTCGCTCACCTGTCCAGTGCAAAGACGCAGCCCTGGAACTGCCTGCAAGAAGAGGTATTTTTCAGTGCAGAGCTCCTGTTCAAAGTGCTGTAACCTTAAAACCAGACTCCTCATCCTGATCAGCACCACACAACTAGGCATCTTCTCTCATCTGATTACTAACCTTTCATCCAAGCAACACCTAGGTGACTTTGAATTACTGCTATAGGATATATATATATCTTTTAGCATGTCAAAAAGGTCAGACACTCCTCTCTTGGCTGCTGTTAAAAACCAGAAGCTTCTTTTAGTACAAAAGAATAGAAGGTCAACATGGAAAGTCAAAACAAGCACCACTCCTAAGTTTCACAACCTGCAGTTCAGGACTAAGTTCAAGTCTACCATCACAGGAAAGAAGCATCTCTGAAGACAACACCTTTTTGCCTAGTGAATTTCCTTACTATTACACACTATTTACTGCTCTCACTCTTTGAGAAACAGCTTTCAGAACCAGACAGACACAACTGCAAATTCCAGTGAAAGGCATATCATGATAGCTCTGTGCAACAGGTCCGCCCAAGAACCAATAGTGCTATTTTAAACTGTAAACAGCAGATTAAACTTCTGGGACCATCACAGTGATATATGGCCTAGAAGTAGCCTGAAGGACTTCAGTCCTCCACTGAACCTAGCTACAATTTGAACCATGTAATAGATAACTCCAGAAATAGAAATGCCAGTTAGGGAGCTCTGTGATCAACTCTTATTTTTCAGAAGCATGCAGATACTACAGGGCGGGGGGGAAGGGGGGGGGGGGGGGGAGATAAATAAAAAAAAAAACATCTACAAGTTTCTAGGGCAAACCAAA